AATAACAGTTTTCTCAGATGCCAGTTAATATTTGCCCCTAATTTCTACCTAATGGCTTAACCCATTTGCAAAAACAAGTCAACCTCTGATGGCCTAACTCTCCTCCCATGGATGCCTGGCCAAATCAGAAATAGAACAAACCACCTTTGACCATGTTGTTCAATAGAGTGATATGATGTCCCAGTCTTCCTGTGTCTTGATTGGATGAAAACATCCTAATGATACAATTTGCAATCTTTTCTCACCTCCATAATTTAACATTTGCTTCACCAGTTCCTTTTCAACAAAGGTATTGTTAGAGTTTTGTAGTGAAACAAAACAACATATTCACAAAATATCTGGTTGGTTTTTGAAGTTTTCTCGTGACCCGGTATTTTTGCCCCCAAGGCTCGGTAGAGGTTCGCACCAGTTGAGAAACGCTGCTCTAGATAAATAATTTTATTGACCATTGCAAAATTGTTTTTGTAAATAAGATAAGTTCTAGACCAGGTTTACTCTTAGTATTTAACTGTTGTATTGTCCCATGTAGACACAAAATAGTTTAGAAGTTTCTCTTTAGTATGCAAGAAGCAATAAATAATATTAGTCCTTGTATATTGAATGTAAATTGCTGTAAAATCTGTCTTTAAAAAATCTAAAAAGCTAACTGAACAAAGTTTTGACAAAGTGTGGAAAAAATTTCTCTCTGTATGGTAACTGTGACAAAGAATTGTAGTGAAGATATATTTTATAATTTATTATTTGTATGTTTGCTTTTTATTTTATCGCTCTTTTGCAATAATCATCTATTTAAAAGACCATTTTGCTGATTTCACAATTTTAAAAAAAAAACTCTCAATATAGACTAATGTACCATGAGGCCATGAGAAACACAGCTACAATTTAATTCCTTTGCCAAGTTCTTTCGCTGTTTATCTTGAATAACTTTGAAGAGAGGGGGGAGGGGGGGGGGGAGGGTGTAGTTTTACCTAATGGGACACATTAACAGTCTTTAAAAGGAGATCAAAATGTTATGGGACTTTTTTTATTATATTATATATTTTTTTGAAAATAATTTTGTTTTCTATTATACTTTGTAGGACATTAACTTGTGTATTGCAAGCCATTAGGGATACCATTGAGAGTTCATATTTGTTCATAGCTTGTGTTGTACTTCTTCTAATATATCATCATCTGAAATAAAGAGTGAGGGTTTTCTAGATCAATGTGCCTTTAGTCTTCACTTTGAGTTTTGAAACACAATGCCCTACCAAACTTTATTATTTTAATCAAGATATAACTATAAGGTTTCATGTCATTCACAGGTAAGACACCAGATATAAGGTTTAATGTCATTCACAGGTTAGATGCCTGGATATAAGGGTGTCGTCAACAGATGGACACCAGATATAAGGGTGCCGTATATGATGTATTTTCAGTCACACTTAGGTCACCAGATTTAAGGGTTTCATCACTAATACTAATAAGACACCAGATATATGGGTGTCAGTCACAGTTAGACTTTTCAATCCAAATGATACAACATCTGGCATAGAAACAAAGTGCAACACATTTAATAAGTTTATGGTATGGTTTTAATCTGATTCCAATCAGCATACATTTTATAGTAAAGATGTTTGTTTTTTTCAGGAACAAATGTAATCTGGTTAACTGATTGAGCAAGTTATGAAATATTTTTTATAGACTAAAATAAGTTGTAACAGAGCAGAGGCCATGTTTCATTATATTCATTTAGTCTGGAACAGGACAACATTCTTTACTGTCATTTAGCCTGGAAAAGGACACCTTATCTCATACAAATTCCACAATTTATGAGAACAGAATCCCGTTTTACTATTGTATTACCTATTTCTTAAACCTCCATACATTTATATTAAAATTATATCTATTTAACTTATATTTATAGCTCAACTATTGTTAGTACTTTTTGAAATGGTAATTTTACCCTACCCATTTGTTTATGTCACACAGCTGAGATGGTAAACAAAAAAAACTTATTACCAGATTCACTTTTTTTTTTCCAAAAGGCTATGTGCTTCACCTGTACAATCTCAATGAAAACTGCTATGGTTTATAGCTCTTCATAATGAACACTTAAACACCTAGAGCACCTTTCCATAACTCATAAATCCTGAACATAGTTGACAAATAATAAATGAAATGGTACATCTTGAGTACTGTAAACATAACAGAACAAAAAATATAATCACAGTTGATCTTTGTACACATGCTAATGCACCTTTAAAACCATAAATACATAGGAGCACAACTGCCTAGATTCTCTATTTTGCTTTGGGACAAATGTACAGACAAGCAGGATTCATTGAACAGCCGTACAGACAAGCAGGATTCATTGAACAGCCATACAGACAAGCAGGATTCATTGAACAGCCATACAGACAAGCAGGATTCATTGAACCAGAAGACCAAACGTACAGACAAGCAGGATTCATTGAACCAGAAGACCAACTGTACAGACGAGCAGAATTCATTGAACCAGAAGACTCAACGTACAGACAAGCAGGATTTATTGAACCAGAAGACCAACTGTACAGACGAGCAGAATTCATTGAACCAGAAGACCAACCGTACAGACAAGCAGGATTTATTGAACCAGAAGACCAACTGTACAGACAAGCAGAATTCATTGAACCAGAAGACCAACCGTACAGACAAGCAGGATTCATTGAACCTTCCATCATCCTTCTCTTATTGAGTTTAGAGAAGGCCACTAAACCCTAGAGCAGACTAAGGTAAAAGTCTTATGTAATTGATGGCCTTCATCCCAAAATATGTTCTTATCTTTAATGCATTTTTAAACAAGATAGAAAATATCTTCTTGGAGTGATAGCAAATCATTTTAAAACAGATATAAAATAATGCAACTATATATAACATTAGATTTAAAACAGATAACCTTATTATTATATAAGCTTCTTGGAGAGGCTGTCTGCCCACCTACTTAATATTTACAAACTCATGTCTGCCTTCATTTAAATTGAACAAATTGAAAATTAATGCAGAAAACATCGTAAGACAAAAGTTTAATGTTTAATTTTGTTTTTTTAATTACAAGTATCACCAAGTTCATCACCAAGGGCTTGAAACAATTTAAAAAATGGACCTTCATTTTGAAAAAGACAATTTAAAAAAGTGTAAAAAATCTGGCCACCTCAACCCAACTATTGCTAAAGCATAATTATTATCATTAATCACCAAATAACTGACATAATTCTATCATTCTCACCCAGTACCTCACAGCCCACCAACAACTAACTATAGTTTTAAGTTTTAGTACCATGTACCAACAAGTAACAACAAGTATAGTTTTAGTACTTCACAGCCTATCAAATACTAACTATAATTTTAGTACCTCACACCCCACCAACTGTAACTGTTATGTTGGTACACAATGAGCTTAGCTTCTAAACCAACCATTCAGGGTGCAACACGTCTCATCAACCCCAGCTGTTGATGATGACAGAACAGTTCTGAACACAGATTTTTAGAAATACTTTTATTGTTATATTGTTAATAATTTTTGTTTTAATTCTGGCCCAGCTTTGGTCTTAAATGCAAGTACTAGTTTGGAACAGTCAAAGACGATTCTAAAATGTGAAAATGTGGTAGATCAGTAGTTCTCAACCTTCCTAATGCCGGGACCCTTTGATACAGTTCCTCATGTTATGGTGACCCCCAACCATAAAATTATTTTCGCTGGTACTTCATAAATATGTGTTTTCCAATAGTCTTAGGCGACCCCTGTGTAAGGATTTGTTCGACCCCCAAAGGGCTTGCGACCCATAGGTTGAGAACCGCTGTGGTGGATGATGCAATGAGACCAAAAGTATAAGATGCAGTTTCTAGCATGAAATAAAAAAAAAACATCTAACCATGAGAACAAAGGAATAATGTGCAGATAATAACAATGTAGATCAAAGTCCCTAAATGTAATATACACAACCCAATTTGTGGCTTTTTAAAACATATCAATATTAAAAAGTTCTTAAAGAAAAAAGATCTCTACAATAAAAAAAATATTTAAAAAATTTTTTAAATTTAATTGTATGAATGTCCTAAATCTTTTTTAAATTTTTGGATAAATATTGGTCCAGACAAAAATTTAATGAATTAAACAACTTGGAGACCCCCAAAATCAGCTCTAAGAGTTTGTTGGCCAATAATAAAATGTTTTATGTTGCACAAAAAAAATCAGCATTAATGAGCTCATCATATCATCTTTTCAGTAGTCCATCAAGTATCCTTGACCAACTATTTTAACATAACATTAGCCTGGGGCCAATTAAATGCTAACACAAGATAACCAAATCAATATCAATAGCTAAGTTTTACAGTATTTTATTTTATTTATATTTCTTTGTTGTTGTTTCTTACAAGGCAAGCATAAAGCTGACAAATGTTAACAAATGAGTTCACCCAGCAAACACTGATATCAGCCAAAAGTAGGTCACTGGCAGCTTTATCAATCAGCTCAAAATACTCAAATGGAAATAAACCTCAGAAATCAACTTCTTATTAATTTAAATGTGTGCCATCATCAAGCATACCGATCCGCAGCCCGCCAGCCAAAAATGCAGCACGTCATGTCAAAAATTGCGGCTCGCTGATGCCCGATTTGTCCAAATGATCTAATTTTTCCTTCATTCAACGGACTAAGATGTTAAAAAGAGAAGTGAGAGAAAAGATGGCATGACATCACATTAGTTTGGTTTTATTCTGTTAAGTTATTAGACATTTCATCATGTGCATTAGGAATAGGTCAACATTTTAATCCACCATTTAGTTGGTGCTTGTTTTAATATTTTCATATAAGGTGTAATGACATGCCACCCACAAATGGTTTACTGGCCATCTAAGTGGCCTGCAAAGCTTTCGGGTTGGCCACCCCTGGCAGAGGTGTAGATGGAGTGTTTGGCAAACACACGCACACACACAACACCCCCCCCCCCCCCCTAGACATTCCATACCTCCCCCTCCCCCGATAGTCTTGTAACAAGAGACATCTACCCCAACCCTGAAGTCCAATTATTTTCATCAATAAAATACCATCAAAGCCCAATCTGTTGCCCCAGCTAGTCTCGCGCCCAGGGCCATCTTCCCCCCAACTCTGAAACCCAATTATTTTCATTAGTAATAAATTATCAAAGTCGATTATGGTGCCCCCGCTTGTCTCACGACCAATGACTTACGTTGCCTTCTTCTGCCCCCACAAACTCTGAAACCCATTTGTTTTCATCAATAAAATACCATCAAAGCCCATATTGGCGCCCCCACTAGTCTCACGACTTCTGTCGCCACCTCTAAGCTGCGCTTCTGACCCCTGGGCATCATGATTATTCAAATGATACAGCTGTACTTAATGGCAAGCATCTAAAGCAAATTATCCAATTTTAAGAAAGCAGTTACTCCTAATTATTTGTACATGTTGCTATACTTTCTGGCAATATTCCCTGTACTTTCCCTCAGTCAGGGGTCAACACCTGTAACTGATCAATGCCTGACCTCTAATCCCACTATTCTGTGGCTGTTAGTGTAAGGGACACATGCTATTCATATTTAAGCCTCAACCTGGCTAGCTGGTGACAGCGACATTTGCCACATGATTATCAAAGTAGACTGATGGAACAAAAAGATGGATTGCCTCAATGTCTCATCAAATGATTCATAATGGCTTTTAATTGAACTTAAAAATTAAATAGGCACAAACCAGTACCTAAGTTCTCTTAAATTTATTAAATTGAATCTGCATGGCATTTACAATTTAAAAAAAGTGTAAAAATTTACTTAAAAAAGAAGTATAATTGGTAGCTTTGTTTCCATAATGCTTGATACATCGACAAGAAGACTACGGCATAAAGCTGATTGGATTTTATGATAATTATTCTTTTTTATTTCTTTTAAGAGGTTAAATTTATTAGTGCTTGTTTTATTGTGCTGTCTAGTTCTGCATGGCTTTTTTTATGTAAACTTTGTGGGATTTTTTTAAAATCTTGATTTCATGAGTCTCTTCTTTGCCTTGTACATTTTTTTTAAAAATATAACTGACTTTGTTTTGTTCAACAAAAATTTAAAATTTTAATCTGCTTGTTTACTTTTTATAAAGATCTAATTAAAAAGTCAAGTTTTAAAATATTGACCCATGAAGTTGAGTATCATGTGGTGTTTCCCAATCTTTTTGACTCGCTGAGCCCTTTTTAGAATACATTTCTACGGCCCCCTCAGGTCTACCCCATGTCTTGATTGTGCTTAGGGGTTTACAAGAACAATTGCAGAGCCTTTGAGAAGCTCATGCGTCGGGAATCACAGAGCCAGCCACCTTCCTCGAAGAAATATACGTACAATCAAATAATTGAAAGACACTTACTTTCCTCACAAAGTGTCAGACTGCTTTATTTTAATGCATTATTTGTTAATAATGTTCTTTGAGTTGTTCTTTTGGTAGAAGATATGAGTTGCTCTATTTTTACTTGCCATATTATAGCTATGACAACTATTTTTACTTGCCATATTAGCGTTATGACATCCCATCAGAAACAAACTGCAATCCAATATGGAATTTTTCAAAAAAAGAAAACCAAAAATTACATTTTCTGAAGATTTGATGTATAAATGAATTACCGGTACTCAAAAAAAGAGTTGTCATAGAACCAGCACTAAACAGCGGTGCCATCACTGCTATCTTCCAAAGAATTATTCACATCACTTGCCAGAGACAAATTACAGTTTTGAGTCTTTGACCACTGTTCTGAATCCAAGCTTCTAGCTTTGTCAATCAGTGACGGACCACTTAAGCTTGATGTGAAAAAAGGCACTTGCGTGGAGTCCTTTGTTGAAGTGAGTGTGGTATTGTACAAGTTCGCAGTTTCAACTGAGTTTGATTGAAAGTGATCCGAGGAATGACTGTACAAGTCTTGTGTCACTAAAAGCCCAATATTTTCTTGAAAAGCTTTACATCCTCTCGCCTCAACTTTTTCACTTAAATCAGGGCTGCTTGTAGAGGGTGACAAGCCAGCAAAATACTTATCTGCGCCATCAAGGTGTTGTGCAGGAATATGGTCTGGAAATATTTTGGAGGAATCAGTTAATTGAAAGACTTCACATTCATTGGAGCTATCAATATTTTCAGAATGTGAAGCCTTTAGAAATTTTTCTGCAGATGATGCACATTGTAAATGTAAGTGCTGACTGGACTCTAATTCCTGATCAGATTTTGATACTACCGCATCCTGACTGCTTTGGTTGGGGAGACTACTACTAGATAAATTATGGTGCGACTCATTTTCACAAGGACTTTCTGAACTGTTTATGAATGGTTCCACCCTGGCAGATTCTGAAGCACCGGTGGAAATATTATTTAAATTAATATTAGACGCAGTACCATTTGGTGTGGGATGGTTGTTGATAATCTCCTCATCTGATGATCTCCTGTGGTTGTTCCGGAGGCGTCGAAAAAGCCTGAAGATGTTTCTATGTGTGTAAACAGTCACACGCTCAATTTCATAGTTGGCGGCCTCTATGGGGTGACCAGGGGCTGAATGACCTACTTGTACACCGCCAGGGTTTGGTGTTTCCCAAGGTTCGTAATAAGCCTGCACAAACCGAGACCTTATAAGACTATTAAAAAGATCTGAAAGGCCAGCTTGGCCCTCCCTTGGGTTAAACTGGAAATTCTCTAATCTCAAATGTGTTTGATCTGGGATAGGTTCTGGGGCACTTCCATTTTCAACAGTGTCGGATTCAGCCTCATTTGTACTGGTGGATGTTGTTGGATGAGTATCCAATTGAGATTGCATTTCCACAAACGAAGACCGCATAAGACTATTAAAAAGATCTGTCAGGCCAGCTTGGTCCTCCCTTTGGTTCAACTGGAAATCATCTGATCTCAAATTGGCAGCATTAGCGGTTTCTTCCGGAGGACTTCCTCTGTTGTTACTTTGATCACTGGGTCTTTCACTTCCACCAGAGGCAGCAGATTCAGCCTCATTTGTATTGACGGGTGCTGTACTGGGACCATTGCTGGACTGTGCTCCAGCTTGAGGATTATCTCTTGGGTCAACAGGTGAGCCTTCATCATCCCGATTGTTGTTTGGCTGTGGGCTATCCTCCCCATCAGGCTCAGGTTGTACCGGAGCAGTCAACAGCTCCTGAATACGAACCTGTTGCAGGATGGCTGGCAGCTCATAATGGTGGAAGAAATAGATCATTGAATGCTGAAAAAAAGTTAAAAACAGATTTTAGGATAGTCAATAAAAGGAAGAATTGTTGAATCATCAAATAGTGTTACATCTGAGAATTTAGGCAAATCAAAATAAAATAAAAATGCTTAAGGGTTGAGTATTATTGTTGAGCACCTGACCATTTAAAAATGGACCAACCTGTATGAACAGCCAAGATGTGAATAGAGCCAATGAGCTGTACTGTCCGTTAAACCGGTAATGGTAGGCATAGAAAGCAAAGTGGTACAAGTAGAAAAACCTAAAGGATAAAAATTGAAGTTGTAAAATAGCATTTATTGAAACACAAAATGATCTGCTTGTTGTGCTAACAGGTTTTATACTGACTTTCAAAGGTCACAATCAGAAATCTAATTCCAACTGACCTCAACCAAATTCTCTTGCTAATATTAGTATGACAGCAAATAGCATCGTACTGGTCAGCTATCCAGACTATCAGGATGATATAAAAGGCTGTAGTGGTGTCATTAAAAAACTCCGACATGATTGCTTCCATACCTGATGGAGAATAAAACCATGATTAACATAATGTATCAAATGTGCCTTGATGTTGATTGCGTGTAAAATCTTTCAGCTGAAGTTAACTCCATAATAATGGTTAACTTTTATGAATAAAAAAATATAATAGCTAGGATTTAAGTAAAGCAATTATTTAATGAGGAAGCTCTTCTCTAATTAAGGTGAATGCATTTATTTTTCTATAACTAAGTTCTATTTGCAACTACGTGCCTGATAAATGGACCTGCTCAACTAACATCTAATTTAAGGACATAAAAAATTGCACCAATCTCAAACATTGTTTCTGCCTTTTATTTTTTTAAACTTACAAGAGAAAAATAATAAACAAGGGCCGAGTGTCATTAGGGTTTAAAGACCCGAGACACAATTAAAAAAGTACAAGAAGTACAGCCATGTCTAAATAACTATGTGCTCCAAGGAATTAATTTAGTTTAAAAGATCACAACATTAAATATAGGCTACATGTCTACATGAATTAGGGACAAGGCTTTTTCTCATTAAAACTAGAAGCATGTGCAGGGTGAGTGTTAATTTCTACAAATCTACATGAATTAGGGACAAGGCTTTTTCTCATTAAAACTAGAAGCATGTGCTGGGCGAGTGTTAATTTCTACTCACCAACAAGTGCTAAGATGACGGTGAGGAGTGGAGCTGCTGGGAAGGCTATGGCAATATTCATATCAAACATCTGCAACAAGTCCACTGAGGAGAGGAACATTAATGCCAAAGGAGAATAACGGGAACTGAAAGCATCAACACGAAATTACTACTGCTTTCCCTTTCCATATCTGTTGTTTGTGTTTTAAACGGTTATAGTGCTCGAATGGAAAGTGATAGTTCAATGCAAAACAATGACATCTCATGATAATGAAGCAGCCAGATGCAAATGATATTTATTGAACATGTATTTCTCGCACAGTACTGAACTTTGATTCTCAGCAAAATGATTGCTGTAAGTAAGAAGAGTGGTTGAAACCTATTTTAAGTAACATTAAATTGATTGTTCAACTATTTACCCTTCAGTTATCTATGGGAGAAATGTGTAAGCTTTCATTAAAAACTAATGAGCAATGTCATGGATTTCTTACAACAACAATGACGCCTTCAGTTGGGAATCAGGCAAAAATGGTTCTTTTGAACTGGGGGGAAATTACAAGACATGTCCATTCAAATGTTACATACCTTTTCAAATCAGCAGGCTCACCATTAGTCTTTGTTTACCCAATGTAAAAGTAATTAACCTAACTCATGCCAGATATTTAATTATAATATACTAATATTAGTAGTAACCACAGGGCCTACAAACTCAACCAAATAAAAACACTGTCATCTCAGTAGCAACTTAAGTGTCACACTACAAATTCAACAAAATAATAACACTGACATTTCAGTAACAACTCAAACTTCCCATTACAAACTCAACAAGATGGTGACACTGACATCTGAATAGCAACTCAAACTTCATGCATTCTGTTCATGTCTGATGGAAAGTTATGCTACTTTGTTGAGTATTCTGTGTGCCACCCAAACCGTCCTCAGTAGCTATACTGGAACTGTGGCCACCTAAACCCTCCTCAGTAGCTATACTGGAACTGTGGCCATCTAAACCCTCCTCAGTAGCTATACTGGAACTGTGGCCATCTAAACCCTCCTCAGTAGCTATACTGGAACTGTGGCCACCTAAACCCTCCTTAGTAGCTATACTGGAACAAGGCATTAACCAGTGCATCACAATCGGTTTTCTTTGTTAAAAAGAATTTGCTTAAAGTTACCCAACAAGTCTGCAAAGTGGTTGAGTATTAAAGTCATGTGCCTGATGTCTGGAACATATGCCGATGGTTTCTTACCCCATGCCATGAACTTATTATGATATACTTACTGATGAACATGAAAATCTGGTGGTGGGAATATCGAAGCAGAGTTGAAACTGATACTGTCTGATGAGATAAATGGATACAAACATTAGACCAACTGTTTTTCCTAAAGGCAAAAATGACACACAGACATCTCTTCCTTCCATCAACTAAAGACAATGTGTGATGCAATCTAGCAACAACAGTTCATAGACATATTTTCAGCAGGTCATACTTTATCTGATCATAAATAACCAATGTAACATGTAACTTAAGAACTTTTATCACGCAGACTGTAACTACTGTTTAAAAAACTTACAAAAATAAGCATGATAAAAGCAGCGGCAAGGTAAGAAGTTCGAGCCATCCACATACTGATGAAACGAAAATGTTCTCCTGTCACCACATTGCGCAGGTAACCTAATTAAACAAATATTTCAAACATGATCAACATTCACCAATGTAAGGAGACTAGATAAAACCTACAGTTATTGACCTCAGGGCCGGCCAGACGGTTGCTGGCGCCCTGTGCAAGCTGAACTTTGGTGCCCCTAATTTAGTAGAATCATTAAAGGAAAAACTAGTTATTCTGTCATGAGTTTATTACCTATGGTGGTTTTTTTCAATCCAACGATGAACAATAAAATTGTTTTTGTTAACGTGTATCAGAATATCGTTTCTTATTGCACTTTCTATTTTTCTTCCATGGCGCTCACATGCAATATTTTTTCCTATTTTGGGAAGATCACTGATGGCGCCCTAAGCACATGCCGTGTACGCAAAGTTAGAATATCGTTTCTTGACCCTGTACCCGAACTTCACTATAATAAACTTATGGAATTTAAATATTTGCTGGGCGCCCCTTTGGCCATGGCGCCCTGTGCGAGGACACAGGTTGCACACTCTAAAGGCTAGTCCTGTTGACCTGTTAGCAGTTGTGTATTAGTAAAAATTGTTGATTGAAAATGCATCTCAAGTGGGCCCATAATTTGAGCTGCCTAAAATCCAGGATAAGTGGTACTGTAGCTTACATTGAGTAGTGTGTTCATTAGTGGTACTGTAGCTTACATTGAGTAGTGTGTTCATTAGTGGTACTGTAGCTTACATTGAGTAGTGTGTTCATTAGTGACACTCTAGATGGATCATCAGTAAACCATTACATATAAGGGAACAAACTTCCTCTAGACAATTATTGTTAAAACAGAGGTACCGTACCTTTATTATTTTCTTTTTCCGCCAGTTTTTTTATGCTGGACATTAAGATATCATCATAGCCAAGAAATTCATCTAGCAAAAACCGACTGAAGCTATCTCCAAAACAGGTTTCTTTTTCAGGGTCTGCAATATTAAAAGAAATCATTTCCCACTGCAATGATATAATACTGCACAATGTTCACGAAAAAAGAAATGTGACATAAGAGAAAATTTACATTTTAAGCAAGTTAATTAACAATAAAAGAAAGTTGAGCTCAACAACCATTGAAGAAATTATCATGGACAAAAAGGATCTTCGTGGTCACAGGACAAAAATTAGTTCACACTTTGCGAAAGTCAAGTGCCATATTTAGTGATTTAAAGCTCAATGCTAAACACATGATAAATATTAAATATAGTAACATATACCATATACATACCCAATGTGACCAACATAACAGTGATGTTAAGTTTTTTACGTGTCTTGGGTAAAAGCCTCAATAAGCCATATTCTAAGGAGTACTCTACGATATACTTTTCCTCAGGCCAAACTGTCAAAAAGGTCATTATGACATCAGAACAGAAATCATAACAGAAATACCACTTTATAATAAATATTTCATGACATAATTTTTGAGAAACTTAATTTTAAAGGGGTAAACTATAGATACTCCATATAATAAGTCTGTCGATTTCCCCTGTTCTTGATTTTAAATTAAAAATTAAGATTTAGTGATGTCATTTTAAGTTTTATTTTTAAAATGTCATGTCAGCATTTTATTCCTGAGCACACATCCATAGAGTAAATGCTGCTTGTAAAGCTCAAAATGGTAAAAGGCTTACCTGCTCTTGCTAGCATTTCAAACTCGGTCAAGCCTTCTGCCAATGGGGTCTCCAAGTATATAACTCCAGGTTTAGAGATGTTGCTTCGAGTTTTGTTCCGAATGAATGGAATGCCAAAATTACTTGGAATATCTTCATCTTCCAAGTTGACTTCTTCTGGGACATCATCATCATCGATACCCCAGAATTTTAAACTGTTTTTAGAAAATAAAATACATCAAATAGAGCACCAAAGCCAACATGACAGCCTGCCCGTGATAGTACCCAGCAGTCATAAGGTCTGCAATAAATCAAAACCTGATAAACAATAACTTAACTTGGCCACAAAATTCAAAAATAGGCACTTATTGTTTTTTGTATTATTTGCAGAGACTTTCATTCAAAATGGCAAGAAACCTTGAATCTCATGTATCAAATTACACAGCTGACATTAAGAGGAATGGTTCTTGAAAAAATGCTTCAGGCCACCAGGTTATGCAAATGATAATTATTATGGTTGGTTCTGATATTTTGCAAGAATATTATCCTTTAAATTAGGGTTGAGGCAATAAGCAAATGGGCTGCTAATTAATCATTTATTAATTTATTATGTAAATAAGTATAGTGCCTTGAAAATGAGCACTTTAATGAATCCTCCTTACAAGTTTAATGTTGCATATTAATTGAATATTTTAGAGCTACTGTTCTGGTATTATTGGTGTTTCAGTAAGTAAGTGCTGTTGTGGCCAATGAAGCAACATTAGAAACCACGGCTTCCGAAACCTATGACCCTTGGACATGGATGAGTGATCCTCCTAACTCCATAGTGAACAAATATATCATATTTTACATCCATGTTGCAAAACATGGAAGATGATAAAGATAACAGACAAAAATTCCCTCAAAGTTATTTTTGGGGGATATACTTATGAGATCTTGTAAATCAAAATAATAAAGAAATCATAAGGTGTCGAACCTGTAAATAGCAGGAACAAATACTAAAACTGAATTATTATTTTTTACATAATTGCTATGAAGAGCTATCCTATACCTGAATAAAGTGCTCTAATTGCAGCTATAACTATAATTCATGACAAAAAAATCAAGAGCTATCCTATACCTGAATAAAGTGCTCTAATTGCAGCTATAACTATAATTCATGACAAAAAAATCAAGAGCTATCCTATACCTGAATAAAGTGCTCTAATTGCAGCTATAACTATAATTCATGACAAAAAAATCAAGAGCTATCCTATACCTGAATAAAGTGCTCTAATTGCAGCTATAACTATAATTCATGAAAAAATAACAAGAGCTATCCTATACCTGAATAAAGTGCTCTAATTGCAGCTATAACTATAATTCATGAAAAAATAACAAGAGCCATCCTATACCTGAATAAAGTGCTCCAAACACTCGTTTTCATTTCTTCCACTATCACTTCTTCATTGGGGCTATTATCTGCTGCATCAACGCCTTTTTCTAAATGTGTCATGTCAGAATGGGGTGGCTCCTCCTCTTTTTCTTGTTCTGGAACTACCTGAATATCTGATGCCTTAACTTTGGGACTCTCTTCAGATCCACCAACTGCATCAGGGAAGGCTTCACTACTATTCACATCTAGATATCCTGATAAGTTTAATTCTTTGCTTGTATTGGTATTCACATTGGAAGAGTTGTCAGCTTCTGAGTTATTCAAAGCTGTACTGCTCTCTGAACTGCTTAAATCAGTTGTGTTCATTTCACTATCATCTTCATATTCACTATCAAAGTTTGAATCTTCAAGTCCAAATTCATCAGCCAAGGATGACTGTAAGAATAATTGAATATCAGAATATTCTTTTCTATATGAGTGAATAATGGAATAATTTTCAGGTGCATTGCGGACTATTTCTACACGAAGGATTCCATCCCTTGGCCAAAGATCCTGGACATGTTCTAAGCAGTTCATGGGCGCTTTTGCAAACACAGCGTGAATATACACAAGTATTCCAAGAACAAATAGTGCCTGAAATAAAATAATACAATAATATTATATCTCCCTTATATTTTTTTTAATGGTGGTATTATGAAACAAATTTTTTACGAAGTGAATGGATATCACTCAATACATTTCATCAGTCCAAGTGCAAAGATACTGCTACAATGAATGATTAGAAAGCTTACCGTTTGTGAACAAAAATGTTTGTATAAAAACCAGGGATATTAATGACAGTTTTCTTGGCCAGCAGTTGTGGAGATTCAAAATGATAATAGAATAAATGCCAGCAGTTGGGTTGAGGTAAACAGTTCACATCCCCCCCATCAAAACAACAACAAAAAACAAGGGGCTAATTTTAATCCCTTTAATCATAAAGTAATTATTAATCAAACAAAAAAATTATATAAAAAAGCTTTTACCTTAAGCAGAAGAGCAAACTCCAAAACTCTACGAATGGGTCTTGGAAATGCCCGGGCGTAAGTAATGGTGATGCGATAAAATAAAGCATGAAACAGGCGGTTCTGGAAGTGGAAAAAGGGGTTATTTTCCCCACCCCTGGCTCCATTGTTATTGTTGTTGCGAGCTCTGGTGCCACCTAACCCTCCATTGTTGTTTCCTGGGTTGTTGTTCATTGTCAATGTTGGCACTATAAATAGAAATAAAATTCAACACTTGATGCTTTTAAAGCTACTTTTTTTTATCTATTCTAGTATTTACAGGCTGACATATAGAAACTAACATTATGCTGCAAACTTCTGAAGTCAAAGGTGAGAATCATGAAAGCCAAAATAGTGATGTTTTGATAGACACCTCATACTATTTCGATAATGACACATCTTTAGGTTTGATAGCAGTCGGTATAGTGAGAGTAAAATATTGCAAAAAAGGCTAAGAATTCCTGCCCTAGAGCATTTAATAAGATCACCCCCCCCCAACTGGGTCAAACATTTTTCCATTCCATTTCACATGGAGATCCCAACTTTGGTCGAGATAAAGACAGCCAAATGGCTCCGACATGATTCGGGTCAGTTGTCAAGACAATTTTTGATAGACCCCTCATACTATTTCGATAATGACACATCTTTAGGTTTGATAGCAGTCGGTATAGTGAGAGTAAAATATTGCAAAAAAGGCTAAGAATTCCTGCCCTAGAGCATTTAATAAGATCCCCCCCCCCCCCCAACTGGGTCAAACATTTTTCCATTCCATTTCACATGGAGATCCCAACTTTGGTCGAGATAAAGACAGCCAAATGGCTCCGACATGATTCGGGTCAGTTGGCAAGACAATATGCCTGACATGGATGTCCTCGCTAGAGAAAACTACCAAGCATCTTCACCACACTGATACACTCAACTCTGTTGGGCAGGACATGTAGTACATATGGAAGACCACCGGTTCCCTAAACAGCTATTCTTTGGTGAACTCACGCTGGGCAAGCGCTCCCAGGGAGGCCAAAGAAAGCAATACAAAGACAGACTGAAAGCAGCATTAAAGGCCTTCAGCATCAATCCTATTGAATGGGTGCAGATAGCGCGGGACAGAGCCAAGTGGAGATCCGCTGTCGAGAGTGGGGCTAAATACCATGAAGCAAGAAGAATAGCGACAGCTGAGACACCCAGGCTAGCCCGAAAAAGCAACCTTAGACCACCGACTACAGCAACTATCCCCTGCCCGCAGTGCCAGAGACGCACTCACCGTGACCCACCCCCACCCCCCACAGGATGACTTGATGGTCCTTATCATGACTGATGAACAAGAACGTGGAGGTCCTAAATCTCTGACTCCTGACTACACATTTCAGCATAAATTCTCATAATTGTCAATATCCCCACACCCACTGTCTCCTCCTCCGTGGCGGCCTGGAACTTGATCAGAAGCCATTTTTCGCATCTCACATACCTGTATTGTTTCTCTCAGTGATCGTAGTTTAAAATAATATAATTATAATTGTTGTATCAAAGAATAATGTTAAAAATTGCTGTAATTTATTATCATTATTAGCACGGTAGTATTTTTATATAGTGCGGTACCCCAGCCTAGGGCTGGGCTCACTGCACTGTACATAAAAATATTAGCAAAAGAGACATAATCGTGACATTAAAATAAAATACATTTATGTAATTAAGAACAGCTGTAAGACATCAAAACAAAAACAAATGTATATATTATCACCCCAGAACTTTTACATATCAAGCCATGGACGGCAGCCAGCAGCATCGTTTATCTGTCAGAGGGGGGAATCAGTCGGAGTAGTAGAGTTTAAAGAAATGTGTTTTGAGTGCAATTTTGAAGGCCTGGGAGGTTGGTATATGGCGAATGTGTAGTGGTAAAGAATTCCATTGTCTGGGGGCGCAGAAAGAGAAAGATCGTTCACCATATTTTTTAGTGCAAGTCTTGGGAACTGACAGAATATGCGTGTCTGTGGAGGAGCGAAGCTGTTGAAGGGGTGAATTTACAGAAAGAAGTTCGGTTAGATAGGAAGGCCAGGAATCTGAGAAAAAGCTGTGACAGGGAACAGACAGCTTATAATCAATGCGTGCCTGTATAGGGTGCCAATGAAGTGAGTGGAGTAGTGGAGTGACGTGATCGCGTTTTTTTGCCTTTAGAACTAGGCTAGCAGCTGAGTTTATAAACTTTTAAAGTTTTTCTAAGTGTTTTGGTGAACCTGACAGAAGAGAGTTGCAATAGTCAAGACAAGAGAGAGCAAGAGCACAGACTAGGGTTTTTTGTTGTGCTTACTGTAAAGCAGTGGCGGATGGAACTGATCTGAAGGACAGCGGTGTATGCAGAACGACAAATATGAGAGATATGTTTATCGAGAGACATTTTGCTAGAAAGAATATAACCAAGATGCCTAGCAGAGGATGTAAACTGTATGTCGGAATCACCTACTTGCAATGAGGTGGGAAGAGTTGAGGTAGAGGAGGATTTGTGATTGTGAATGAAGATTCATTCCGATTGTCATCATTAAAAAAACATTAAGCTTCAACTTGCTGAGTGCCATCCATGATTTGACATCACCAATGCACTCCCGCAAAGTCTGGACAACAGAATCGACAAGAGAGGGATGGATATGCTTGTATAGCTGCGTGTCATCTGAGAATGACTGGCTCTCTAAGGCATGCCTCCCGAGCAAGAGGAGCAGTGGCCTGGTATACATTATGAATAGAACCGGGCCTAAAACGGACCCCTGGGGCACTCCGTACACCAAATTAGCACTGCTGGAGTGACAGCCATCGACAGAGAACGCCTGCGTTCTCTCAGAGAGGTAGGACCTAAACCAAGCCAAAACCGAACCAGAAATTCCAAAGTAATTTTCAAGGGTTTTGTAAAGGGTTTCATGGTGAACAGTGTCAAAGGCCGCACTGAGATCTAAGAGGATCAGGATGGAGACATTACCGCTGTCCATTGCGCGCAAGAGGTCATAACTGACTCTCAAGAGAGCTGTCTCTGTGTCGTGGCAGACTGATTAGGACTGAGAAGGGAGTGGTCGTTTAAGTAAGCAAAAAATTGTTTTAGAACTAGTTTTTCAATGACTTTAGATAAAAATGATAAGTTAGATACATGTCTATAGTTTTTTGTATTATTTTCATCCAGACCAGGCTTTTTAAGCAATGGTTTGATGACAGCTGTTCTCGGTTAAACTTTTTAAAAGCTATTTTAAATAAGACTTTTATATAGAAGAGTTGTACTTCATTGTTTATAAGTGAAACCAAGGTTTATTTGTTGTCATTTGAAGCATTATTTCAATGAATCTCTTTGCTACTTTTTCTACTGTTGCTTAGGGTTACTCTAGGCCCTGGTCGGCGAGTAAGTTTCCTAGAAGATTAACAGCTCAAAAAGCTTTGAAAGAGTTAAACCCCCCCCCCCCCCCCCCCACATGATGTCATGTATGGAGGCACCATATTAAACAGGTGAATTATAATTACTAGCACATCTTTCCAATCAATAACTAAAATATAGATCTCGGCATCATTAAATGTAAATGGCTCAAATGAATGCAAACAATATCAAAATTATTCTTTAACTCAATGAACCAAAAATAAGGATAAATGTATGCAGCTTTTTTTTCTCATGCGTAGGGCTTACTCATTGATTTTATCAGTATGAGAGTCACTGATAATGTTGTTGTTTTCTCTTTTAAAAATACAAATAATTGCATGCTTTTTTAATTAATAAGTTGCAACAGCCACCAAATTTTTAGCCTTGTATCTTTAATATTTCATAAGTTATGATTACTCCACTCCAAAAATTTGCAGTTTATTTAATTTATATAGGAAAAAATAACATCTTAAGTGTTAAAATAATTATTTAAATATGAAATGCTATTCTGAAGTGCATCCGGAATTTTGTTTGAAAGAAATTTCGTCTACGGAAAATTAATCAATGGAAGTTTGATCGAACGGAAATTTGGTCAAACAAAAGTTTGGTCTAATATTTTGTTTTCAGTTCACTCTATCTAATTTTCGTCAAATTTCTTTTTGAATGCACTATACTTTATAGTAAGAAAAAAATACTGCTTTTTTAATCAATCAGTATTCGATCAATTTTCCGTCATTGAAATTTCTTTCCAACAAATTTCCAGTAACCCGGAGCCTATTTTCTACTTTCATTCATTTATATATAATATCATCAACAAATCCTTTAAATATGACATTTTCATATTAAGAAACATGCAAGATATTTGGTTGAAATTGATGAGCTGAAAAATGGGTCACAAAATGTGGAGGAAAACTCAATGGTAAAAATAGTACCTTTAGTGAAGTCAGCACTAAAGAAACTCATAACTTTTGAACCACTTGAGCTAGAAAGTTCATCCTGGTGTGTGTGTTTTTTTTCTTCTTTGTAAACCATTCAATTTAATATATTCAACTGTATTGCATTTATATTTGTAGAAGTATTTAGAAAATTTCACCAAAATACCTATAGCGGACTAAGTCACTAAGTATAGGTACTTTGATACTCATCCGCGCACCCTTCTGCACGTGTCCAAAATCGGCCAAAAAATTATTTTTGACCATATAACAATTCATTCTGCTGTGAACTTTTTTCTTTTGAATTTTATGTAATTTTTCTAAAAAATAAATTACTTTTGTAATTAATCACATGCAATATGTATATCTTATGGTGATGCTCAGACATTTTATGCAACCAGGTGATGCCACTTCCTCTTGCTGTGTTATTTTGACCTTTCAGTAAGCTTTAAATGTTTTAAGTACTATTTTAAAGGAAATACACCATATTGGAACCTAAATAATCCTAATTACCATCTAAATTGGATCGGCAATAACTTTGAAATATTCAATTTACCAGTTTCCTTTGAATGCTATCGCAGCATGTCCATCACCCCTCATCATCAGACGGAAAAAATAAATTTTGCTATTTCTTTTTTATCTTCACCAGGAACGGAATTCACTCTTGATAACAATCAATCAGAGGGTTTCAATATTCTGTAATGATGTCTGAATAAATTAAAGTAAATTTTAAAATGTAAATATCCATAAGATAATAAATGAAATCTAAGCTTGGTTCCACCTGCTGTAAATAAATAGTAACCTGCCTAGATTTTATATTTAATATAGGCATAATACTATAATAGTAATACTATTAGTAATTCAACTACACAGTCCTAACATAAAGTAGTATTTTTAAATTTAATAAGATACCGGTATTTAATTTTAAATTTTAATAATTGTTTACAAGTTTCAGTCAATGTGATATTCTAATACTTACTGTGTTTCTTTACTTTTAGTCATAGAGGCAATACAATATCATGTAGATTTTTGAAAATATTTATATTTATAAACCTTAATAAAAAATAATTGTAAAATTATTGACATAATAGTCTATGTCTTGTTTAAATTAGCTAATATAAATCAGCCAATACTATTTTTATTAGAAGACATCAACTAAATCAATAAGACTCAATATCATCACAGTCACAGTAATGTTATTTTTATTAGGACAGAAAAACAGTTTGCAGATGAATATTTAATATTTCTAACAAAATTTTTAATAAAGAAATGCATTTATTAAAGCGTTCCCTGAATAATGATATAATAGTAGTTGTACATAGCAATCTCTTAAGTCTTATGAATGAAACTAAGAGACTAATACTGTAACTATAGTAGTATGGTAATGCAAGTGACTGTGAATGGTTGCCGCAGGAAAAAGTTTTGCACATCATTCACATGGCAATTTACGATAATTAACACTCATTGAGCTAGGATCTGTTTGCCATTACTTATGCTCATCTAAGTCTAAGTAACCTGCTTTACCATAAGGTCACCGTGCCCATTTTGACCACGCCACTTTTTTAATGGCGGAAGATGCCAATACTTTTTAAATATTCAATTATTACCTGTATTCACATCAAAATATTTGCTAACTTTTATTTTAGAGTGAACTTAGAAGGCATTTTAACAAGAATATTTTAATGTGAGTCTTTAAACGCAGTGAAGTCCATATTATAAATTATCATAAATTGCAGTGTGCAAAACGTTGTATTGGGCAACCATTCACAGCCACTTTCATAATGGCTATATTGTAGTTCTATCTCAGAGTTTCATTCATAAGAGTTTGTAATGTGCAAATAATTATTAACCAACGGTCAGGGAAAACTTTAATTAATTAGTCATGTGCCAAAGTTGAAAGTTCAAAATAAGTAGTCCCTAAACAATATTTTAGTAATAAGGGGATGTGTAGCCTTTAATATACTATATAATATATACCGGTATAATGGACACCGTAGACTTGGTAAAAAGAAAAGCCATATATTAATATATTATATTAAATTCCATGATACAAATAGTGCATAGTTACATAGGTTATAATTTATTCATAATTGCATAATACAAATGACATTATTAAAATTACTTTTTAACACAGCATTAATTTTGAAAATAAAATTTGTATATAAATTTTAATTACAACAAGAGTTATTGCGCATGACGTGATCAGCGGAATGGGGTCACAAATGTAAAGGTATAGTCCATAGAAAAATACCAAACGAACTCGCACTTAAAATTAAATTCTTAGCTCAAAAAGTACTAAGTTAGAAAGTTAATTCTGATTTCATTTTTTTTTTATTTGAAATTTGCTCTATAAGTCTATAAAACTGTAATATTTTTAAAATATTTTCTTAAATTTTAAATGTTTTTACCAAAGTACTTACGCCATCGTCCAAAAACTACATTTCTCCTGAACCGACTCCCAATGGCATTTCCCATACAAATTTTTGAATGAGGTTTGATTTATCATTTATGGCAATTGGGTAGGCCTAATATTTAAAATTTCTGTCATCATGGTATCTTCAAGTGCACAGTAGTAGTAGTATTAAGTACTAGAACAAGCTTTCAAAAAGAACAGTTGGGTAAATTTTAAGTTAACGGTATGGGTTTTGCCAAGAGTTTTCTCACCCTAAGTGCAATGACATCACTTTACTGGACTTCGGGCGAACAGACCTATTTGAAGGACCTGAACGATGTCTGTTATAACATTCCTGTTCCTTATTGAGCATAACTCGCGACATAAATGATACGGTTAATATGAAGTACATTGAAATTTTACATTTCATTAAATCCAACTTACATGTTTCAAAAAAAAGGAAAAAAGAAACACATCCTTGCTGATACCCCAAGACCCAACACCGGTGGAAAAAAAGATGAGCGCCAAAAGTGCTGTATTTTGATTAGTTGAAATCAAAATACCCTTATGTTGAAACTTAGGTTACAAAAGGAAGACTACTGCTTAAATTGCATTTGGAATGATCTTCTAGGGACTGATACCAAAATAAGAAACATAGAAATTCTCTGGGGAGGGCAGACCCCTCCCCAATTTAACAAAAAATATAAAAAAACAATAACTTAATATTTTTAGTATGGCACTGTAGACCAAAGTGGACCAGGGGGAACCTCTGTGACCTATATACCGTGGAACACATCGTTGGCCTCACCGCTAACTCAAAATTAGCCGAACAGTTGAGGCGAAAACACTTGACTTTGACACATCTGCATCTATTGCCTCAGGCCTTCCAACCCCCAGTGCATGATACCCTCACAAAGTAGCCTTTGCAACCAGTGAAATATCCTCATCAACACCAGGCACAGAAACATTGCAAATCTCCTCGACATGCATAGGAGCCAAAATGATCAATAAATTGATCATGGATATTTATAGAAGTATAGCAGTAGTTGTAGACTTGTAGGTAGTGAGTTAAGTAAGTGTAAGATAAAGTGTAAGTTTAGTCTAATAGTACTACAATTAAATAAGTAAGTTTAAGTATAAAGAAGTCTTATACATTAATATAAATATTACTGGCTACCATATTATTATAAACTATATATAAGTATAAGATAACTATATAAATAATATAATATAAATAAATAAGTTTATTAAATTAAGTAGACGCAGACTGGCTCATGTTCTTGTTTCATAATGTGCACAGTAAATGATTACGATCAACATTCATAACCTAGTGAACAATATTTTTAATTTCTTTACCTGGATTCGAAGTACTGAGGATATTTACACTCGCAACACGGATATAGCAAATGGATTCTTTTAGGGGATATCTACGTTATTCAGTCATTCTGCCGACATCTTGGAATCCTTGGTTATAACCTCAAACCCAAAGATAATTTAAAAATATGTCAATTATTTCCATGCGAAAGCTTTATTAGAACTTATTATCGATTTTAAAAAAAGATGAGATCGCTTTTAAATAAATATTTCATAAAATGAACAAATAAATGCAATATTTCCTTCAAAAAATTATAATTTTTGACATCTCAAAGAGCTTATGTAAAGGGATATCACTCTCTTCGCCAAATTTGTTAAACTTCCGTAACGTCCTGTTAATAAACAGTAACAACATGGAACAAAATCCACCCAAAGACCACAAAATTGTTGACAAAGATACAAACAATTGTAACTACGACTCTTTTAGAGTTTCGACGAATTTGGAGGTGGATCCTGATTTGAGACATAATGATGACCGAACTGGAAACGATTTCGGAGCACAGTCACAGAATAGTAGTTCCGACGAAATAGTGGATTCAAGTCATAATAATAATAATAAAGACAATGACGTCAATGTCAATGATGATTGCCACATACTCAGACTCAGAGACAGTGTCAAGGACTGTCACTCGCCCCACAGTCTTGCTCTGTGCAACAACAGTATCCCAAGTACAACTGCAGTCATGGATGATACTCGGTCTAATACTAAACATTGTCGATCCACTACTCCTACAAATCACACATCATCAGAACATGATATTGACGGAAAATCCATTAACAATGGAAAATCGACAATAATGACACATGAGATTTTATCTGTACTAAGCAAAAATGAAGGGGAAAGCTCTGAAAAAGAACAAGCCATGATTTCCTCTCAAAATATTATATGCCCTAGAGTGAACTGTCCAGAGAAAATAGTTAACTACTTTCTTATCTTCCTTTATTTTTTATAAACATTGTATTTGAATTAATTGAAACTTTCAGACTGCCAAGTGAAAGTCTAAAATGGTGTTTTCCAACATGGGGCATATGCCCCACAGAATAGAAATTTAAATATTAGGATAGGCCATGGAGGACATCTTTAGTTTTTAGTCTCTAAGATAGGAGATGTATTGTTTCAAATTGATAGTGAACATTGTTAGGTAGTGGCGTATTTAGATTATTTGGTTCCCAGGGACACGATTCATTATTAATGACTTCTGAAAACCATTATTTTTATCATTAAAATGCAATCAGAGCTCATTTTGGCACCCACAATCACAAATAATCTTTGGCCTGGGAACATCTGTCCCCCCCCCCCCTTTTTTTTTTCCATTTAGCTACCCTGCTAATATTCAGGACACTTTTTAAAATAAATTTAACCACTGATATTGAAATTGTCATTTATTAATTTCTTAAATAATTTTTGGGCTGGGAAAATCTGTCCCCCCCCCCCCTTTTTTTTTTCCATTTAGCTACACTGCTAATATTCAGGACACTTTTTAAAATAAATTTAACCACTGATATTGAAATTGTCATTTATTAATTTCTATAAATATATATTGTAATTTTGACCTAATCCAGTGTGAGAAATTAAAATGTGATCTTCCTGATGGCGGCCTGCAGCCCATATGACTTAGCTCTTCCACTTAGGACAAGTTTGGGAGGAGGGTGGCAATTTTAACCATTTTAGATTTTCAGGGGGAAACACTGGTCTTAAAGTAAAAGATAAGGATAACTTAAGGCTAGCCTACTCAAAGAAAGAATTTTTAAAAGGCATGACGTGATGTTTACAGTGTAATAAAAGTGATTTGTGGTAAAATTCAATCAGATATCATACTTTTAAAACTGAAGCTTTCATTTATTTACTATTGAAGATGTTATTGGTAAATATAAATTTTTCAAATCCTTTTACTTTGTGTTTTAATTATTTTTCAGATAATATGTCTTGACTTAAATGAAGAAATGGATTCAACTATATTTAGATCACGAGCAGGGTATGCTTCATAAATAAAATATATGCCTTTGTAACTATATAAAAGCTTTCTAAGCATTAAATTAAATGTGAATCATTTTAACCTTTTTTGTGTAAATTACAATTCTTCTACTGAATACATACTAATATCTCAAAATATTTTTTTTGGCAGTGATAAATACTCGGGACTAGAACTTGCAAAGAGAACTATCAAAATGTTTGTAATGCACAAAACTCAGATGAATCCAAAACATGAGTTTGCTCTTCTTATATTTTATGACGAATCCACTATGGTACAGTAACTTCATTTTTTTAATTTTTTTTTTTAATTTTTTTTTTTTAAATTTAAATTTAACTTTTGTAATTTATAATCACTTACTTATTTAAACCTGGGGCATAGGCTGTCTACAAGAATTAAGCATTCATCTTAGTCCTGTGGATTCCTTTCCACTTGATTCCAGGTGTATACAATACTCGAGCTCACATCTCCATGTATTCTTTGGTCTTCCTCTCTTCCTTTTTCCCAATGGATTCCATGTTAGGGATTGTCTGTTGATGTTATTGGGAGGGGGTGTTATGAAAATAATGCCCTGTCAATCTCCATCTTTTCCTCATGGTGTCTTCAGCTATAGGCTCTTGGTGTCTTGGTATGTCCTTTCCAATTGTCTTTGTTGAGGATGATGTTTGGCCATTTTATGTAATAAAAGAAGGGGGATAACTCCTACTTAAAAGGAGAAAAAAAAAAAAAGGGTGTGGGGTGCATGTTCTAGCAAACTGTTTTTAATACTTCATAGTTTCAAAATTTTAAGGTCCAGTCTGATTTCATCACATAAGTCTTGAAAAGACCTTCTGAATTTTTTTACTGATTCATATATGGTCAGTTAGGTTTTCTGTTCTGCTATCAGGGGACACCCAAGTAACCTTGTGGATTTTCTTATGATGCCTCCAATATTTAGCTCATTTGCCGTTCGGAAATTTGCCAGTCTTTCGCCGTTTTCATTTCTCTCTTCTAAACCAGGGTGCCCAATAATTTCTTCTTATCTTCTCTTTTATTTTCCAAATCGTAGCATTTAGATCTCCCGTAATGATATTTAGATCTCTAACTGGAAATTTTTCTAGAATAGCTTGGATTCTTTTGTAGAAAGCTTATTTTTCATCTTCCTTACTATTGTTGGCTGGTGCATAATATATTACATTAATATTTATTGCCTTCTTCTTGGTTCGGAATGTCACTGTAATAATTCTTGGACCATGGGCTTCGCATCCTATCAATGCCCCTTGTGTCATCATGAAAGCGAATCCTTGTGGGTGTTGTCGAACCGTTGAATCTGTTGTGTTGTAATTATCTACTCATGGTAATGAGTGTCTACTTGTCTGGCCAAGTCTCTCACTTGATCCCACGAACAGTATAGCTAATATTAAAAGTTAATAATACAACCAACGTTAACAGGTTTGTAGCTAGATAGGAGTTTATTTAACACTACTCCATTAACTATGGTTGATGAATAATTTCAGAATTGATAATCCAATCACTCCAACCAAACTCTACTCAATATAGAAATCCAAACAGTTCATCCAGTATATCCGCCATCAATCTTCCATCACAGCATCGACAAAAACTAACGCGTCATATCCCCTTATACAATTACGTCACAACAATCTCACCCCCACGATAAAGCTACACATAAAATCTCTAACTAAACATCTTTTCCCTATTAAACATGAAAACAATGATCTACACATAACAACAATGATTCTCATACCCTTGACAGGTGTTTTGAGCATTTTCCTTCTCATGTCCTGAGTATTAGTGTTTCTTCCAAAGTTAATTTTAAATGCCCAGCTTGTTTCCATCTTTTTTTCACAGATGCGAGCAGGGAGAGCTTGTGTGTTCTCATTTGTGCCTCCACTTGAACTGATTTTCCTGTCTCATACATGGTTCTAACATTTCACGGGCCTATGTCTATTGCCTTTGAAAGCGGAGTCCTTGGCTTAGAGGTTTTAAATATAACCTGGCTTTGGCCACAAGGCTTCATAACTCTTCTTGGGGCGAAGACACCTCTTTTTATCAGGGCTGAAATTTTTTTGTTTTTTCTTCATGTTGATGTTTTGGTAGAAATAGTTTTTTAAAAGTGAGGTAATTGGCCTCACTGCACCCAGACTTTGTATCGATCATGGTGGAACTTATAATTATTACATTATAAAAATTTAAAATAAATTGCATACCATTATTAAAACTATGATTATCCTTCAATTTGATAGATATAAGGCTGATGAGATGCAGAGCTTATGTCCTTTAAACCATACTAAGAAGGAGGCCCTAATGTATATTTTTAAATTAGTTTATCTTGGATAATCACAATCATTTCGTGGATTCAAAGAAATATGCCAGATAGGAATAGGAGAGATATATTAAAAATTAGCTTGGATGTCTTCTGGGCCAGATTTCTATTTGACGGATCATTTTCTATTGTTCTGTGCCAGGTTTCTCTGGGTGATCAGCAGTTCATATTCCCTCCCTGAACTGTTCATTTTATTGATGTCCTGGAAATTTAGCTTGGCTACATTCTTCTGACCAAGCCATCTTTACCATTATCCCTGTACACTTTCCTTGTCATTTCGAGTCATGGTCTCGGTTCTTCGTTTTAGAAAATGCGGTACTACATACTACGCTATTAGAACCACACAAAATTTCTGTAATTTATCAAAAGACACCACACTATTAGTACCACACAAAATTCTGTAAATTATCAAGACACCACACTGTTTGTACCACACAAAATTCTGTAAATTATCAAGACACCACACTGTTAGTACCACACAAAATTCTGTAAATTATCAAGACACCACACTGTTAGTACCACACAAAATTCTGTAAATTATCAAGACACCACACTGTTAGTACCAAACAAAATTCTGTAAATTATCAAGACACCACACTGTTAGTACCACACAAAATTCTGTAAATTATCAAGACACCACACTGTTAGTACCACACAAAATTCTGTAAATTATCAAGACACCACACTGTTAGTACCACACAAAATTCTGTAAATTATCAAGACACCACACTGTTAGTACCACACAAAATTCTGTAAATTATCAAGACACCACACTGTTAGTACCAAACAAAATTCTTTAATTTATTAAAAGACACCATGATTCCCCAACATTATTCATCACTTTGTGTGAATTCAAAAATAATTTTTATGATTCACCAACTTTGTGGGAAATGAAACATACACTTCTCTGATTCCCCAATTTCATCTCTCAATAGTTCAGCTCAGTTCATGCCTTAATAAATTATTAATATTGCTCTGATAGTTGTGTTGTAAGTTTTTTTTAAGCCTTTTTATTAACTACGCTTTTGTTTTTGGGTGGCTGTCTGGGTGGCAAAATCTACGGATGGCTGATTGACCCATTCCATCAAGGTATCAAGCTGAAATTTGGCACTCAGTGCCGATGACATCACATTCTATCAAATTTTTCAGCCCCAACCCTCAAAAATCAATTTTTGCTGTTTTTAAATGGGAACACAAAGGAAAGTTACTGATAACTGCGCTAAATGATATTCTTAAAAAAATATTCCAAGTTCATTTGGTGCGTAATATTTTATTTTGCTTTTCTGAAATAATGTGGTACCATAAAATAAATCTGCGGTGTAAAAGCGGGTGAGTCATTAGAATATTAATACAGTTTGGGAGCATGAACAAAGTGTTGGGTTGCAAGTGGGGGGGGGGGGGATTAAGGGGATTGGAATTTTTATAATGTGCTTTACTTGTAAAAATATTTTGTCAAATTTTGAGACTCCCCCCCCCCCTGCTGGATATTACATTTGATAAAGGATTTATACAATAAACATTTTGTTTTTAAGAGTTGTTTGAATGTTTTAATTCTGTCATAGAAATATCTACAACATTTTTTTTGTAACATCAGCAGTGTGGTAGGAAAATATGTGATGATGTATCTAAGTCATGAAGTTTTAACTAGGCTAGCATTTAAGTTACAAATATATAAATATTATTAGTATTATAGAGGGTATTTTATTTGACATGGCGTTGATGGTCATTCAGCACACAAATTAAGAACCCATTCTTTTATCTTATACTTATAATAATGGGTTTGGTGAAGCAAGCATTTTTTTTTTATTATAGCAATAAAAGTAAATAGAATCCACTGCATAAATATGGCTTTCATGCAACATTTTCCCCCTATTTCTATTCAGATACACAACTTTACATCAAGAGCTCAAGACATTCTCAACACCGTTGATGAAAGCGTCATAGAAACACACAAATCTGGTCCACTCAGTCTCTCACACCTCTTTGAAACCATGTATGGAATTTTTTCTTTATCGAGTGGTATTAAATTATTTTTTTTTAATAAATAAAGGCACAAGATATGTTAAGGCTTGAAAATAAAAGACAATGCAATTAAGTAGACATTTTGGCTAGATTCCTTCTTCAGCAGACATTTTGGATCGATGCCTTCTTCAGCAGACAATACATTAACAACAGATGAATGTAAATTAAAAAACAAAATTCATGTTTTCGATCATCTGAATAAAGTCAATGTTCAGAACAGGAAGCGTTCTATGTTAATTTTTATTGTTAGAAATGGAAGTTGATGTATTCAAAACTAAAACAGACATCACACATTATTCTGTGGTGCATACTATCACGGTAAAATAATTTAAGTATTATTAATGTATAAAGTCTTAAACAGCAACAATTGAGAATAGAAATGGAGGGAAATAAAGGATCTTTAGTAAGTATTTGATTGATTCCATATATTGATATGGTGCCTCGCTGGTCTATTGGTAAAAGAAATTAGAGTCGCCATGGATACATTTGAAGTGCCCTTGTGTTTACCTCTGTTGAAATGGGACGACACTGGGATGGCGTGCTGTGATCAATAATCTGAAGACGTATCCGGAAATTTGATCGAAAGAAATTTCGTCAACGGTAAATTGATCGACGGTAATTTGATCGAACGGAAATTTGGTCGAAACTTTTTTCACTTTTTTACGTTAAAACTTTTGCTTAAATTTTTTTTTCGAACGCATTATTGTGTTTAGCAATATAGTGTAGTGCGTTGAAAAAAAAATTTTTTAAATTCGACAAAAATTTTAACGTCTGAACTGAAAAAAAGGTTCGACCAAATTTCCGTTCTATCAAATTTCCTTCGATCAATTTACCGTCGACGAAATTTCTTTCGATCAAATTTCCGGTAAACGTGTTCAATAATCTGAAGATGTTCACTGAACCTATTAGATAGCCTTCTTCTCATCTCACCTAAAGAACAGAAGCGACATCTTCGGCACACAGATCACATTTTGACTAATACATGTGAAGCCCTCTTTTAATTTGATTAAGGTCCCCTTAGGGAAGCCAACGTGTTTAGTTTCCAGAAAATAGGACCAAGTCCTACAGCGGCTTCAGGACCAAGTCCTACAGCAGCCTCAGGACCAAGTCCTACAGTGGCTTCTTGAACAAAGTTTTCAAGCCTAAACATATCTTGTTCCACTGTTTATTTAATTTACTTAAAATTCAGTCCCGCATATTTCATGTGACGTATAAGGCTCATTATTTCATGCACTGTTTATATGCTCATGGCAAACCGATGGTATTGCTGCAATTTGCAAGGCATCTTCTTTCTATTTCTTAGCAAGGAAAACATAGAGCTGCCCACAGTTCAAGGTGATCCAGAGGTCGTGCCCCCACCTTACATCATCAGAGTCATTTTGGTTTTTGGGAGGTCACGGAGTGTGCCCACTCTCACAAGTACCCAGGTTAGCTCACTGGTTTCAAAGTCTCAGGGTGTGCCTTCCTTCTAAGGTAAACATGTTATAAAGGTCAGAGATTCTCAGACTTTTTTCAGCCATCGTCCCTTGTGGCTATAAACTCACCTCTAGCCAAATATGCCAAGTAATACAAATCTAAAGGCCTGTACAGGTGATCACTGAGAATTTAGCAACCAGATATTGACTGTGAATTACATAATGAAATATAGAAAACTGGACATGTTTTTTTAATAAACAAGAAAGCCCCTGTACCAGCTAGTCATTGAAGGAGAACGTGACTTATTCAAACAAGAAAGCCACTGTACCAGCTAGTAATTGATGGAGAACGTAACTTATTCAAACAAGAAAGCCCCTGTACCAGCTAGTCATTGATGGAGAACGTAACTTATTCAAACAAGAAAGCCCCTGTACCAGCTAGTCATTGAAGGAGAACGTGACTTATTCAAACAAGAAAGCCACTGTACCAGCTAATTGATGGAGAACGTAACTTATTCAAACAAGAAAGCCCCTGTACCAGCTAGTCATTGAAGGAGAACGTGACTTATTCAAACAAGAAAGCCCCTGTACCAGCTAGTCATTGAAGGAGAACGTAACTTATTCGAACACAGTTGCAGCAGCCAATCCCTTTATAAATATTTTTTAAAAATTCTTTTGACCTTTCCATTAATCTTTCATCGAAACAAAGACATAACAGTAGAGATAATATTTGTAAAATTCCGACTGTTTGCATGATGATGACATTCTCTATCAAAGCCTTCACCCTGGCCTTGATAGCAATCACATAGGCCCTGATAGCAATCACATAGGCCTTGATAACAATCACATAGGCCCTGATAGCAATCACATAGACCTTGATAACAATCACATAGGCCCTGATAGCAATCACATAGGCCTTGATAACAATCACATAGGCCCTGATAGCAATCACATAGGCCTTGATAACAATCACATAGGCCCTGATAGCAATCACATAGGCCTTGATAACAATCACATAGGCCCTGATAGCAATCACATAGGCCTTGATAGCAATCACATAGGCCCTGATAGCAATCACATAGGCCTTGATAGCAATCACATAGGCCCTGATAGCAATCACATAGGCCCTGATAGCAATCACATAGTCCTATATTTTCATCACCAAATTTGACAAACTTTAGGATCATTCATATTTACTGCATTCATTGAGTTCTGGGAAATCTGTGGGCATCTTTTATCTCTCTTTAATTGGGTTTTCTGTTCAATTGCATTGATGTATTGTTTTCTATGTTTTAAAAGGTCAAAGGTCTTGCCTAGGACTAGGATCTATATTTTCTGACTAATGTCTCACCACAACTCTTTTCCAATGCCAGCTATCAAATTTGTATTTCATTCTTTCAAATTATTAACTTATTTTCATTGTATAAAATGTTCTTGAAAGTACACCAGGCAACTTTTGAAAGTACACCAGGCAACTTTTGAAAGTACACCATGCAACATTTGGAAAGGCCACCTGGCAACTTTTGAAAGTACACCTGGCAACTTTTGAAAGTACACCAGGAAACTTCTGAAAGTGCACCAGGCAACTTCTGAAAGTGCACCAGGCAACTTCTGAAAGTGCACCAGACAACTATTGAAATTACACCAGGCAACTTTTGAAAGTACACCAGGCAACTTCTGAAAGTGTACCAGGCAACTTTTGAAATTACACCAGGCAACTTCTGAAAGTACACAAGGCAACTTTTGAAAGTACACTAGGCAACTTTAGAAAGTACACTAGGCAACTTTTGAAAGTACACTAGGCAACTTTAGAAAGTACACTAGGCAACTTTAGAAAGTACACTAGGCAACTTCTGAAAGTACACCAGGCAACTTCTGAAAGTACACCAGGCAACTCGGAGATAATCCCACCCTCCTGGGCCATCCTGTCCACTATGAGAACTACTGATCTAGGTCATGGGGTGCGCTTAATTCACATCAAGAGCTCCAGAAAGTCTCAACCCAGTGGATGAGAGTACACCGGTTTAGTCTGGCTCATTAGGTTCACCTTTTCCACATACATCACAGATTATTTATTTATTTATTTATTTAGGCATTTTTATATAGCGCTTATCATAAAGCTCTAAGCGCTTTACAATTATTAAAAAAAAGAAATAAAATATTTAAATCCAGATGAGATCTAGGTTTTATATCACATGGTGGATATCATTTTAAATGTTGCCTCTAGGTTAACGTTTAGGGGACAAAGGCTTCTTCATAAGTGTTTGTTTTTTTTAAACTAATGTACTATTGTGAAAAGAAGCAATTTAAAAAGCCTTGCAAATAAAAACTGGGCTCTTTCAATAAGCAAATTTATCCTCTTCATTGGTAGTAAAGTAATGTTATATTCTAATTGGGTCAGTTTTGAATTGAACGATTGCAGGTCATTCTTTCTAGCTCTGTAAATATTTCAAATGAAATGCAAAGTTCATTTTATAGCAATTGAGTGGCTCAGAAAGCTGAATTTCATAATCAAACTTGATTTTAATTAAAATTATGAATTATAATTCTTTTTCAGGCTAAGAGTATATTGGAGTCATCCCCATATTTTTTTACTGATGTTCTCTACATTCATGAGCCTCCAACTGAAGATAATAAATGCGAGGCAAGTTTTATACATTATATTAATGCTAAACGTTTTCTGTCATTTAGATATTTTACTTTTAATATTCATACTCACTTGTTGTTTTTTTAACTAATCACCATATTTTACTCCGTTAGTATTTAACTAATCACCATATTTCACTCCATTAGTATTTAACTCTTACATCCAAAACTTTTTGTATTTGTTTGTCATGAATTTTGTAATTTAGTGGGATTATTGTCATCTTAGGAAATTTTTCACTCTCTGTGTGAACTGGACCACAGCGGCTTGTCTTACATCTTTGAACACTCAAAGTACACACAGATCTTAAACAGTGGAGCTAAGCTGTTGCCCCACCCATTGCAACGTCCTGGACAGATGGATGCCATGTACAAAATAAGCTCCCTGCTCCCTCCAGTCTCAACAAAGGAAGATAACATCTAATTGCAATTAATGGCTTACAAGAATGACATGCTGACCTTTTGTCAAAAGAATAAATTGTAATAGAGATCAAACGTTGGTTTTGAAGGGAAAAAAAACTAGTTAAATTTTGAAAAATGCAAAAAAAGTTCTGCTATCAGGTAACAGAAAATCAGGGTAGGATAGATCCGAAGCAGTGGAATGATATCCTTAAGACTTATTGTGAATTGAGAGAAAACCTATTTCAAGACATTGATTTTTTTCTGGCTTCTACAAAGTCCGTATTTTTGTGTTGGATATTGTTCATATCAAAATGTTAATATGCTTCTTTGATTCTGTTATTGTTTGTAAATGGCATTTATACGTTATAAACACTTGATTGAAATGGTTAGCATGAATGTGATTGCTACTGAGGTCTGTTAACGTGCTCACAGGGAATCATCATGTTGATCAAAACAGGAACACATTTTGAAGAGTATTGAATAGTTCTCTTATGAAAAGTTTGTTGCCAATGAAGAGTGAAAGGTATTTTAGTAAAAATTGTGCATAAAAGTTATGGTTTAAGATAATCACAGTCAAACACATCTAATTTTTAATAATCCTTTTAAAACTGTGTTGCTGCAAGATGGCCCAGGATAAAAGGGTTCAGCATGACTCATAACTTGCTTCATTTTCTTTCTCGGCTCTCTAACATAGATTTTTTTAAAGTGCTACCTTTGCATGAGACCTGGGGTGGCCGAACAAAGCAGCTTCACATGCCTTTTTGATCACTATTCAATCCTTCACGGGCTCTATGTCAAAGTCCTTTCAATTAACATAAACACCAAATTAAAGATGTACAGATTATTTATTTATTCTCCATGCACATAATTCTCAGATGACAACACACCTTCTTGTGTCACCATTCACATTGTAAGATTTAGACGTAACTCTTTATTATGAATATTAATTATATATTTAAATGCCCAAGAATGTTAATTTTTTTTGTTTACTTTTGTCAGTAAGGATGTGTTAGAAAAATATGTGTATGTGTGGGAGATTTTTTATGACTATTTACAAAAGACATTTTAAGTTTTAATTGTGTTGCTGTATTTGACAGAGTTATCACTTGTGTGAATTAAAATAATAACCAACATTGGGACTAATACTTTTACCAATAAAATTTCATCTATAAAATTTTTTTTTCTTGCTACACAATTAACATTTAATACATTTTTAATTTTTGAAAATGAAACTTTTTAAACTTCTGTAACTACAAAATAGTAAACAGAAGGATTGATTTAGTGCAGTGGCATTAATATTTATTTTTGTTCTCCTCCATTTAACACATAATAAATATATAAATATATTTTAACACAAAAATCTGCATTGTAAGCTCCCAAACAAAAAATTTAATTTTTTTTTTTTTTTAAATAAATGTTTTAAAAAAATCGGCCTTATAAGTGGAAGTGCAATGGTGCTGTTACATAATATCAGTCAAACAATATAAACAAAAAATGACTTTTGTATCCATTGCTTTCCTTGCCATCAGATACATCAGGAGCTATCAAATATGCCAAGTGAGTTATTCTCATTTGCTTATCAATGTTAAATTTAACTCTGTATCTGGTAATAACATATCACTTGCATTTATCAATCAGCTTTATACCGTTCCAGGCAAACATTTTTGTTGATTGAAGGTTGGAAGCTGAAATACCACAGAGTTTGGTACCTCATATGAAAACAGAATACTGCACAGTTAACTCTTACTTCAACAGGCTAGACAACTACAGGGACACGAGGTGCCAGCATCGCACATGGCCTCAGAAGATGTTTTACACCTCTTCACTTTGTGCCCCAAGCTTGAACTATGCGTGTCCTATGTTAATAAAAGTGATGGCACCACCCAATGGATGGAGCTGGTTGCAAATGTATTAGTCCAACCTTAAAGAGCACGAGCTCAGGCCCTTCCCAGAATATGTATGTTTTTCCTTGTTTGCATGGCTAGATACATTTCTAACCTAAAACAAACTGACCAACTCGTCTGTGTTTGAACAACCTTAAAGCTTATGACTAAACTGATATTTTCTTTGTTAAGAATTAGAGAAATTTGTCTGAATTATTCACAGCAGATTTTAGGTGCTGCAGCCGACCCATTAAGAAAGATTGACTTGAATTACCAGTACCACTATATGAAAAGACTTGACTTGAGTTACCATTATATGAAAAGACTGACTTGAGTTAGCTATGAATGTAAAGACCGACTTGAGATACCATATATGAAAAGACTGGCAAAATGTTATTTCATAAATCCGATGTACCAAGAACCCAAACATTGGAAAATTAATAGATGATCAAACATTTACTAACATAATGAAAACAGATCTGAGAGTAAGATTTGAATTTATTTTTATTCAAATCATAAATAAATGGGAGCTTTTGGGGGCAAAAACTAATTAGACACATAATATAATACAAGCATTAGCTCAGAAGATATTTCTGTACAAAATACAAATTTGTAATTTCCAAGAGTTTAAAATATTTTTACTTTATTGGAAATTTCTGAAAGTGTTTAAATTTTAATTTTGCTCATGGAGTTTGATATGTCAACAATACTTATTTTATTTATACATAACTTTAAAAAATTACTTGAAGAAAGATGATGATGCTAATCTCAACAAGGTCACATTCTAAACGTTTATAAGAAAAAATTTGTATTTAGTGATTTCACCACCTTGATCCTGTGGTTAGGGTTTATTTTGTCAATGTGCAACATCCAGTTTTTAAATAACATAATTATGATACATAACTAGAATAAGATTACATACAGATGACACAGGGATTGGAGCTCAATCATTCGAAGAAATTAAAAAAGGATGTGGTTTTTTTTTTGTTTTTTTTTTATCTTTTTTGGTTTTTTATTACAAAATGCAAAATTAGAATCCCACCCCCAACCCTGAAATGAACTTTTTTTACAAATTTGCTTCAAGTCCTTACATCGTATCATGCTCTTCTGATTAAAACCAATATATTGATGACATTGCATATTTTATTACTATTACTAACTGAGTTTACAATGACAAAGAAACTTACAAGTTTTGGCCAAGATTGTTGTCAATTAATTGGGATGTAAAGTCATTTTCTGTTGCAATTATTTGGAAAAAAATATTGAAAGTTATGATCAGGGTCAAAAACACTTACTTAAACTTAATTAATTGCAAGATCATTTTAGCACAATGCAGGCTAAGTGTGAACAAAAAGTGATAATTTGCCTTTATTCCAAATCAAAACAAAAAGTGCCATAATACATTTCTTGTTTAAGAAACAAATTTTATGACTGAAACTGCAATGAATTTGTAGAAATTAAATAAAGCACATTTACTTGATACTTCCAAAATTCTATGTTAGTTATTTAATCTATAAAGTCTTCATTACAAAGACAACATACCATTTTTAAACTTACTTCCTTGACTGCCAATATTTTTAAAAATTTCAATTCATATACAAAGACAGAAGCACAATGACTAAGCAAATGTTGCTAATATCAAATTAAAAAATAATAACTTTTTTAGTCAGTGGTATGCAAACTAAACAATGTCATGTTTGCCATAAAAACAAATCTATCTTTATAAGACATTGGGCAGAGGGGGAAATTAGATCGGCTCTGCTTGAGTAAATTATGAAAGAAATAAAATGAATTCATACCAACACAAAATAGTATTTACCACAACAATACATTAGATACCAATGATAACAACAGAATACAAATAGAATAATCACAATTTAACCTGAGACTTACTGATACTATTACATTTATCAAACACAAACAATTGTTTTTATATACATTAATGTAATATCCATTTACTCTTTATATGAAATGCTTCTTTCAAATCCACATAAAAAATGTCAAAGTGTTGTATAGAAGAATTAGATTCAGCATGTGTGCAAAAAAATCTCACTCTTTCCATAAGAATGCACAGAAAAATTACAAAATGTCAAAGTTAAATAAATTTGTGTTATCTCTTTCAAAAGCCCCTAGTTTATTAAACATAGCTAGCATAAAAATTTAGATTCATAAAATATTTGAATAAAGCGCAGAATTTCCCAGAAAACCCATTTATTTTCTAACATAAATGAAGCAAACGATGGTCACAAAGTTTTATGGAAATTATACAGATTAAAGAAAGAATACAAGAGTCATATCTTTAAATTAATCACTGGTGCACATGCTGGCTTAAGTACTTGAGGGAAAAAAATAACTAAAAAGTTAAAAGATAAGAATGATTCTTAATAGCAAAATATAAAGATAATATCTTAAATGGTTATTTGTTTCACTTATAAATGCTTGAACAGCGGCATTCTTTGGTTGTCTTGTTATTTGACAACAATTACTTCTTAAGTGCAGTATCTTTTTTTGTTTTTACAAATTGCAGCTACAAATGTATTGAAAAACGCCTCTTTATTAGTATAGCTACAACGTTCAAAGAGGTCAGCTAGTTGCATATATCTCTAAAATTGTACATTTTGAGTTTACCTTACTCATTGTTAAGGCTTATTTGTGAATATGATTGATTTTCAATAATAACAAAATGCTTCTCTATATACTTTATATTTTTCAACAAAACTTACACCAAAAAATGATGAGTCTGGCAGCCCTACTTATTCCAGATGGGCTATGTTTCTTTATTGTATGATGATTTTGTTATAATATAACTTATTTGTTGCAGAAGCTTATCACAATGCAAATAAAAAAGATCTCTTTTATGTTTCCAGCATTTGTACAACGTTCATGACAGAATCTTGACTTTCATCACCACATGTTGTATTCAATATCATCATTTCCAAACACTTTAAAGTATCCAAATATTGTAAGGAACACCACTGTGTTACCAGATATGACCAACGCACAAGCTCCCCAGGCAATCTAGGAGTATACATGTATACGTGTTAAAGTTTGAAATGATTCTACTGCAATTTAATGTATGGTATTTAACAAAATTTCTTTTTCTATTATTTTCATTTAACAGCTCAAATATAATTGTGCGATAACAATTATTTACAAAATGTCAATTTAACCCTGATATGTCAATTTAACCCAAATATGTCAATTTAACCCTGATATGTCAATTTAACCCTGATATATCAATTTAACCCTGATATGTCAACTTAACCCTGATATGTCAATTTAACCCTGATATGTCAATTTAACCCTGATAATTCCTATACACCAGGTATTAAGGCCAACTAAATGTTAACATGAAAAAATACTGCATTTAAAAAATTGAAAAACAACTAATACAACTTGGATTTAACTTCCAAAATGGCACATAGTACATTAATGCTTTCCTGGCAATTGGTTATACTTATCATATAAGATGCATCTATTAAAATCAAGCATCTACCTTGCCGATTACATTAATATGACAGAAATCTAGCACACTACTTGCATTAACAGACGTATTTTCTAACTTACCACTTCCGTGTGGGCAAGAACAACAGGGAGGCCAATAGCAGAGATGACTATACCAGTAGTGAAAAAGATACAAAGTTCAATACAAGCACTGCTGGATGAGTCATAGCTGTTGGTCAGTCTCCGGGCCACAATTGTTGGTAATGGAGATAAAAAGTAGAAGAACAAAACAAACATCGGCCACCAGTTGCTGGGAAAGGTAAGATATAAAGCAAAAACACATTACTGGGTATTTTGTAAGAGGATTTGTCACAGCAAAAACCACATAATTAATTTTAGCAATGAATAATAGCTTCTTTTGATACATTTTAATTGACACACCAGAGTGATTAGAATGAAAATTCCAAACAAGATTCTTCATTCATGCTTTTACTTTTAATAGTGTTGTGTTGTGTGAGCAATAAGTCAGGAAAAGGCATGTTGATTAAAGTTACTGCACTTACTTGTACTGGGGTAAAGCACAGGCCAGCACTAAGAATGTAACACCAAGAGCACAGGCGAATGCCAGACCGATTAACCTGAATAAAATATGTATACTATTTCAGTCTGAATCTAATTGGGTCATTGAAATGTAAAATTTAGTATTAAAACTAACTGATAGGTAGTAAACAATTAATTTATAACTAAAGATATTTGTCAACATTTTACCAACTATAGTTATGTCTTTTAAAATATGTTATAATGGTCCAGTCAACAATAATTTTATCAGCTAAAGAATTTAATTATTTGTGTGTTAAAATATAAAATGAATTGAAAAAGAATTATCTACATATGCCAATTTCCTATTGTATAGCGTGGTATACAAATACATTAAGTAAGCTCCCAATGATGAGTTGGGCAATACATTAGCCACTGGTCAAAAAAAGTGTCAAGAGATACATGTTCACAACTTAAAAGTGATGCATTGAATGATGTGATGCACACTAATTTTATTTGTCAATTTTCTTCTCAGCAGCAGTGCTCTCATTCATAACCAGTTTACGGAGTCATTGAAAAATTTTCAGGTTTGTTATTTTGAAGCAAGTCACAGTCTCAAAGATTTAACTGCAGAAAACACCTGGATCATTTAACAGCTCTAGTTCCACCTTTACCCTGTTTTGTCAATGCATTATAGACAAGTACCAAGTTGCTGGTTAAAAATTCAGATTTTGCAAGGTTAGTTTGAAAATTTGGAACCTATTTTATAGATTTGAAGCTATTGGAGACTTCCCCCCCACACAACCCAATAGAGCTTTCTTTTCTCTTGCATGACAACAGTCATCTTATTTATATTTAAAATTTACTTACGCTATGTATTGATGGCATCAGCAACAGGAAGTCCAAAGAATAATAATTCATGAAATATAAGAATTGAAAAGAATTTAGCAAACAGTTACTTTTTTTTATTATTTTTCTTTTTGTTTGAAAAATGGTCCTTTGGTAACTTTAAAATAAAAGCTTACTTCAAAAATAAATTGTAAAGAAAAAGGAAGCCAATACAAACAGAATTACAAAGTAATTTCTAAACATTATTATAATGTTAATAATTTTATGTATGGTAACGGTATTACTTAAGATACTCTAATTTTAGCATACAGTGTAGCAATTCATAAATTTATCAATGTTTTAACTCTTGCCTTTTTATTTCTGCTATTAATTTTATGTTTTGCCTTTTTATTTCTGCTATTAATTTTATGTTATTAGTTAACATAAGTTATGATTATGTTATGTTATTCCTTATAATTTTATTCAATTTATATTTACAAGGCTAGCCAAATTAAACATTGATGAAAGTTTTCCAGGATGGTTTTAAGTCAATTTTTCTGACACTTGCTTTACATGTAATGTAATGAAGAAAATATTTACTATTTTATTCATTTTTAAATTTAATGTTATATGTATTATATTTATATATAATACATTTATTTTATGAATCTACAGAAAAACATAGATAAATTGATCATTGATAATGATAAGTGATAAGCTAACCAAGCAATTCATTTTTTAAAAGTAACAACATCACACCTAATAAGTGAAGTAGTTGCATTGTGGAGTAAACATGACACACTGAAAGCTGCATTAACCACTATGGAAAACATAGCGAATCCATGGACCATACCCAGTGACTTTAACTTTAGTTTTAGACTTAAAAATTTAGAAATGGAATTTAGAATAAACGAGAAAGAGGGGGGAAAAGAATCAGAAAAAATAACTTTCAACATAGTAATTGGCCTATATACCCAACATTATTTTAAAAAATATTAATCGATATTGATAACATTAAAACAAAGCCTGATAGTTAACGATTTATGACTTATCACTGTTAGCGTAAAGGCTAATTCATTAAGTGGACACTTATTGTGATTTACCTCTAATGCCGGCCATTTTGTCAACAAAGGGTTTGTTCCCATTACGAGAGTGAATGAACTTTGGTGAAAATCTTCTTTTTTAAAAATAATTTGTCCTGTCTGTGACGTAAGATACCCTTTAAAAAAAAATAAAAAAATAAAAAAGAAATACGAAATAAAAAAAATCTCTTGTTTTAACAAATAAATCATGAATTTATAATATACATTATTTTACATTACGAACTAACGTTTATTAAGTGGCATATTAAATTTGTAACCAAATTATTCATTATTTCATATGTTTAGTTAAGGACATTAGGGATCATTCACAATATTATAGTATAACGCGAAGGGGTGGGGGTGGTTTATCATGTTGTGCCTTGCATTACATAGTTCACAACGATGATTAAGGTGGTTATAGCCGATATATAATATATATTGTTTTATATGGCTAGTGGTGGCTTTGCTATAACATATATATAACATATCATTATTCATTAACAGTGGCGCTACAGCCCATAAAAGTATAAGACCCAAGCGCCAGCCTGTTCATGGCCCGCTAGAGTAGACACTCAGACCTGTTTACCCCCAAACTCTTAAAATCGTACAATATCATCACAAAATCGTTCAATACATGATCTTAATAGTAAAAAGACACACAGTGTATATAATGTGTACACCTCAAAATCGTACATTGTACGCCAAAATCGTAAGGGTAAACAGGTCTGAGACACTCCATATCCGAAAACAAGTTAAAATCCCGGACCAAAGTCACGCAAACTTATATGTATCTGTTCACGTTTAGTCTTGGCTATCTAAGATACACTTTTGTATTTATATAAGTTAAATGGTATTTGGGCTATTTTAAATAGAAGGTGGAGGGACTGGTGCACCCCATGAACGGATGCATGGGAAAACACCTTAATTACTTAATATTAAAAAATGTAATTTTAAAAATATACTTCGGTATATAGAATAAAATCTCATTTAGTTATAATTTATAGCATAATACCCTAAGATTCCCGAGAAATAAATTACTGAGCTTATACAATAAGGCCAAATTGTGGTTCACTATATCTACACAGTGGGGTAGAAGCCGCTCATGCAATCAGGGTTTCTTTAAGCTATATCTCCGGGGGAAGGGGGGCACTGCCCCCCGGGGAAAGCCAAGTGCCCCCCCCCTCAATCAAAAAATATGTCCAACAAAAAATCAACTGGCATTGCTGGCACTGCCCCCCCCCCCGAAAAATCTGAAGTGCCCCCCCCCCCCAACCGGGGGAAAATTTCTGAACTAATCACTGCATGCAATGTCGCGCTAGCCTTAACCCTAGGTCAAATTCCACGACAGTGATGGGTGGTGAACGCTCTGTTTCGTAAAAGCGTGGCATACAATGCAACATAATTTATTTCTGTGTGTATGTATTTCGTTTTGCCCAATATTAAAATAAGCAGCACCCCACTAATTTAAGTCAAGAACTGCCACTGTTAAAAATATAAAAATACGTTGAATTTTTTTTTCAAACCGTCTTCTGCTCTTGAATTTAACATCTGTTTAGAAAACTGTCTAGAGCGAACTGCATGCATTTAAATTTTCCAGTTGCTGTCCCCCGGTGATGGAGTCAACCCAAGCGGCCTGCGTCCATCATATTGTTTAGCATGTGCTTTTCCGGAGGGACACCGCCAAATCACAAACCGCTCCGGGTGTCACAAACTCTGGTAACGCCATTGATCTCATGGAAAACACACCCGACACTCTGGTGGGAACCAGCTTTTTCATGTAGGTTAACTAACATCTCCTCTGTTAATGACTCGAGCAAGCTCTGTAAAATTTGCAATTTTAAATTAGGGAGGGTTTCACTTGAAATTGTCAACACCGAATCCCCCCCCCCCTTTTTTTTTCCCCTTGACGCTATTAGAGCTGGAGAAAGGGTAACAACTAATAACAAAAATAACAAAAATGAATGAAAGTAAATGCAAAAATTATATGACGTCACGAGTAAGTTATCTGTTTTTTAATGACGTTACGAAAGGGAACTCTTATAGTCATATTCAATAAAGATAGGCAAAAATTGGTAGGAAATTAATATTAAATCATTTGATCCTTTTGAAATAGTAACATGTGCTATTATTATCTCTTTTAGCTTAAAGCTAAGAATTTTGTGAATTTCAATTCTCTGATGTTGTTGGGTTTTTTTTCACATCCAATCCAAATTCTTTTCACGATTTATGCCGAATATACCCGACAACAACCATTTTGAACGGAAGTCTCATAAGCAACAGCCATCAAACCTACCAGTTCTAATCTATATTTCATCTCAAAAACAGCAAATAATGGCTGTCCCGGAAAGCAAAACGTAAGATTATGGCCACGATTTTAATAATGTTTAATTAATGTTGTTTATAATTTAAAAGCTGCATGACAAAAATCAAGGGTAATGGTTCGAGACAAGTTGGTAAAAAGTCCAAAGAAAAAAGTTGTCATCCCGTCAATTTCGTCGAGTCACAAATGCGATGTAGTTAAAAATAGATTTATCTTTTTGTAAATCAGATGTGGTACCTAAACAAAATTTAATATGGATATCAATAAAAATTATCTGCATTTTCAACTTCTGATAGATTTATGAAATTTCATAAAAAATATAATGTATCCTTTTGACTAACCAATTTATAATTTAACAAAGGAAAGCAGGCTGGTAAAATGGTAGGGTCCAGGGTTTTCCCGATACAATGAAAACTAAGTATGACGTTGGCAAACTGTGAAAAGGGAAGATCATTCAGCATTTTCAATTTTGCTGTATCAACATGGAGACTGATATAATTAGGGCCTACTACTTTCTTAACTTCGGCATTATTGCTTTGCTGATTTGCTGCTGTGGTTCTATCATGCTATACTAAGTCTAAATACTTTAACTTAAATTTTAAGTTGGTTACTCTAGAATCAGAAAACAATTTGTTACCTTGGAAGCCTTGTAAATGATACTTTTCTCATTGTACTGACTAGGGTTCAAATCTCAAATTTAAATTATCAATTGGCCAAGACCTATACTATACAGTATTTAGATTAGTCAGTGTCCTGCAGTCTACACTCCTTTAGAAATAAAAATTAAAATTGGACTAGGCCTTATTAAACTAATTAGTTATTTTTTTCATTTTGTTGTAAAGAGAGGTTAGATCTCAATAATCTAAGTTCTCTTACAAAACAAACAGAATAGACTTATTGACAGTTTCAATTGAAACTTTAGGGAGTTTTACCTAAATTTAAGCCAAGGGTTTCTAAATTTCAAACAGTTTGAATTTATTTGAAGTTTTATCATGTCAAGGTGAGCCAACTTATTTTTAACTTATTGATATTAGGTCCTTTGACAGAAATTTTAAATATTGTCTGATTGCTATAAATATCATATATAGGGTTGCCATCACCATTATGGACCTTGTAATTATATTAAATAAATTTTGTACTTCATTTCCACACCCCCATCTCAGAGTGTCCCAAAGAGGTCCCTGCTAGATTTGGCAACCCTAATTATATAGCTAGTTAGCTGTAAGCTTTCCAAAAACACAAATTTCATCTTTCTATTATTTATAGGCAGTGTCTATACTCCGGCAACCGGACGAATAGTGCGGTAGATTTTCTTCCAGCGGGCATGTCACACGATCGCCGGACGACTCGTAGGCTTTATTATTCCGGCACATGTGTCATGTGACAAGAAGTCGCTGGCAAAATAGTTGCATTGCACATGATATAATATTCCAATATTGTGTTTGGAAAAATGATTTTTTTAAAATTCAAAAGGAAAAATAACCGGCGAAAAAAGAAAAAACGTTTCCAATTTTACTGACATTAGTGACATGCGCAGTGTGCATTTCTTAATGATCCATAACATAAAGAAATTAGTTCATTGGTCGGTAGATTTATTTAAGCCAATCAAATTAATCTTAACGAGTTATCAGTCGGGAAATAGTCGAGAATTTATTGAATAATTTTCTTGGTCGGGAAAATGGGCCTGCTAGTAAGGAAATTTTCCGGATAGTCTGGAATTTTTTAATTTGAAAGAAAAAAAAAATTAAATTTGTCTTTGGATTCCTTGAAAATTGACGTTAATCGCTTATCTCGTCTATTTTTAGCCTTTCTGTTATAAAAAGAACTTTGCCAAATGCTAGTGGTTTCCCCTTATTAACTGCGCGTGCGTTTTGAGCTCTATAAGTTTCTAATACCGTACAACTTCGATAGACTAGAAATATTTAATTTCTTTTCACATCGCCAGTCAAGAGATGTTCGACTGTTTGGGTAAGTAAAGTGTTAAATATATTAAATAATTATTTGAACCTAGTTTTCAATTGTGAGGTAACCATTATAAATAGAAAACTACTCGTCCAAGTGCTGTCTAAAATGTCTAAGCTTAGCGTACTTTGTTATGTCATAGTCTTCATAAGTTGATTTTTAACTGTTTTACTGTATGTGGGCGACATGTATTTTTTTATTAGCACTAGGCAGCCTTTAACTTTTTTTAAAAAGACTAAGTTCTTTTTACACTTAATTATGGAGCAGGCCTTCTAATTTTAAATAGGCTAATATGATCAAGTTATTTTGTGATGTTATTTTTGCATAGATTAGTTAGATTAGTTAGCTAGTTTACGGCTGACTTTCGCAATTCATTTAAAAGTTAATGAAATAAAACAAACAGAAAAAACTATTTGATTGGACTTGATACATCAATTCAGTGAGCCTAACATAACTGTACACTGTATATAGTTCCTTAGTTATAGTTGTGCACTCCCGTGCTCTGGGTATACTTTACGGTATTATACTATTATTCATAAGAAAAGTGGTGTAGGGCAGGTTTTTTTTTTTTTTTTTGGGGGGGGGGGGGTTCCTTGGGTACCCCCCCCCCCCCCAACCCACCCCAAAAAAAAGGAGGGGGTCCATGATGCATTACCCTGCTGAAATTCTTGACTTTGCTGTTTCATATGCATATCTTAGTATCTCTTCTGACTCTTTATTACTGTAGTTTAGTACGGGTATAATATAGTCTATATAATGAATGCCTTACTGTAAATTATAAACATAATATTCATATATATCTTTTTTTTCACACTTTATTTTTGTTTCACTATTCAGGATCAAGGCTCAATAAAATAATGCCCAACAGTTCCTTTAAAGATTGATGTTCAGGATGGCTATCATGATAATGATTGAACAAGTCATCACTGCTTCATGCTTCACTTTGCTGGAAATATTGATCTCAAGTATTCAGGGGGAAATATTAAAAAATGTCAATCATCTGATGAGACTTCAGCTTTGATTTAGGTGTCCACTTCTGCAACTTCTCAGCCATGCTCCCAATGTATGTGTCAAAATATGAAACCCTCATTGGAGAGTTTTCATAGACAAGCAAATGGATATTTATCTTCGCATCTGGGATGTAAATAAACTTAGTTCATTTCTCCATTCATCATTTTCTTAGACATGCCACTGCTGAAAGCATGTTGGAAAAAATCAGTCCAATTATCACAGACCTTGGACACTTGGGTTTTTACAAATGACTATGGATGGCCCTGCAGTGAACTGGACATTTTTCAAAGCCTCTGGATACAACTGGACAGTCAGGACATTTAAAATATTTTGTTTAACATATTTCCTCATTGATCTGTAGCGGATGATTCACCATAAAAATGTTTTAACTATTAATTTTTTTTTTTAAATTACATTTGAACACTAAGCTAATTCAAGTGTATATACCACTGTACATACTTTGTGTTATAGTCCCTAAAACTAAAGGATTTCTCTACCTTGATAAGCTGAATATTATGTGTATTGTGTATATTGTATATGCTTAAGTGTTATAAAGAATTTTGAATCTATGCAAGCTGAATATTATGTGTATTGTGTATATTGTATATACTTAAGTGTTATAAAGAATTTTGAATCTATGCTATTATTCAGTGAGTTTGTTTGTTTTTTTCTCTTTCCTACCGTTTATGATAATAAATAGGTCATTGAATTTTTTTAAAAAAGGTCTTTGAAGGTTTGGGAAAAGTTTGTGAATTCTAGACCTTGAATTCTGTATGAACCCTTTTGTAAGTATCCTCTGGGTGGGCAACAGCCGGGGACAATAAAAGAGAACAAATCAGCCCTAGACAATTACATGAATCTTTAGCCATTATATGACTGCAAAAAAACATGCTAAGTCAAGGGGCATTATACTGATTGTTTTTGGCTCCATTTTAATCATGGGAACTCACTCTGTTCTTGTCGCAAAAGGATGTCTTGAAAATAGGCAAAGAGAAAAGCATCTACCTTGATGAACTGGTTACCATTATTTTACAGTACATAACACCCAAAATGGTTCACAATATAATGATTTTTAAATACACAGAAGGAAGAAAAATGAAAAAAGAAGACTTTTCTTGGAATACTTGGATGCTGACTTTATGCTGGTGCTATTTATCAAAACTTCACAATTACCCCCCTCCTGTTTGATACAATTGAAGGCAATGCATTGCTGGAAAGCCAAGGACAAATTAGCAGCAATTAGTTGGGGAAAAGTTAGGAATTTTTTTTAAAGAAGAGTTGGAACTATGCATCAGTGAAATTATTACTATCTACAGTCAGAATATAACAACCCATATCCTGCACAGCAAAATCAAAATCTCAATATGTTATGGACAAATAAAAATTTTGATTTATTTGTATCAATAAAAGAATCTGATCTTATAGATAGTGTAGCATTGCTTTGTCTTTCCTAAAATACATGAACTTTCAAATGCTATTTTATAAAAATAAATATACATTTATTTCTATTTAAGCCAAAATAATATAATTGACACAAAAGAAACGTAACTATAAAATCCATGCTTTCTACATTTTTTACTGTTCTTTTGCAATAGGGAAGAGGATTTAGCAACAGCCATCCTCCGACGCAAGGAGCGCCCCAACAGACTTCTTGTGGAGGAGGCCATCAATGAAGATAATTCTGTGGTATCTCTATCCCAGGTACACACTTCTGATACTCTTGTCAATATTTTTCGCTCTTTAAATTGATTGTGATTCAGAAAGTAAATATATATGAAATGAAAGTGGGAAATAATTAATTTCTTTTTTTTTTTATTTTGATTGATTTGTCTCCTTTCTTTATTTTAATAGAAAAAAATGGATGAGCTGCAGTTATTTAGGGGAGACACTGTATTACTAAAGGGTAAACGTAGGAAAGAAACAGTATGCATTGTTTTATCTGATGAGACTGTCACAGATGACAAAATAAGGATTAACAGATGTGTCAGAAATAACTTAAGAGTGCGTTTAGGAGATGTTGTCAGGTAGGTTTTCATGAGTTTTTACTACCTTATTTTTTTCAATATTTTTTTTATTGTTACCTGATTTATTATGGGTGGTGTTAGATATTTTTTTCACATGAACATAATGGCCCTTTCATGTTTTGAGTTAGTTTTTACACAAAACAAATCATATCACTTTGTGAAATATATTTTGTAAAATTTTGTTACTTGATGAATACTGTTAACGAAAATATTATTTTAACTTCCAGTATTCAACCATGCCCTGATGTTAAGTATGGCAAAAGGATTCATGTGTTGCCCATTGATGACACAGTGGAAGGTCTTGCAGGGTCAGTTGGGTCTCCCACATTCTTTAAAGAAAATTTCTTAAATAATACAAATCTTACAACCCATTTTTGGATGAAACTGAAGGGTTACTCTTTTATTTCTTAATTTCATTCAATATTGAATGCATTTTCTTTGTAAGTTTTTAATTTTAAAAACTTTTTTGAGTGATGATATATGCAGTACTGATTTTGTCTTTTACAGAAATCTTTTTGAAGTTTTCTTGAAGCCATACTTCCTTGAGGCTTATAGGCCCATAAAAAAGGGTGATATTTTCCTAGTCCGTGGTGGAATGAGAGCAGTAGAGTTTAAAGTTATTGAGACAGATCCTCAACCTTATTGCATTGTAGCTCCAGACACAGTTATCCATTGTGAGGGAGAGCCTGTGAAAAGAGAGGTAATTATATTTTTTATTTGACAGGAAGACATTTCCTGGTAGCCTTCATTTATTCAACGTGACATGTTTTTTAATGCAAACTTTATCGTATTCTAGAAAGTTAATATTTTAAGATTTACTGATTCATTTTTTTTTAAAAATGTGTGATGTGCATTTTTTTAAAAATATGTGATGACTATGTGTAATCATGAACATTGAACATGTTTATAATTTTTTAATATTACTTAAAAATTAGGAAGAAGAGGAACAACTTAATGAAGTTGGCTATGATGACATAGGTGGTTGCAGAAAACAGCTTGCTCAGATCAAAGAGATGGTGGAATTGCCACTCAGACATCCTCAACTTTTCAAAGCTATTGGAGTTAAGGTGAACAAAATTGTGACCTTTATTTTTATAAGGTATTTGAATTTATGCGATGAACAAGGAAACCACAAAACGTGAGGTTAAGTACACTAATTATCATAGCAGCAGAATGAATCTCTTTAAATCAAATACTATTTATTTGATGCAGATATTTTCATGATGCTGATACGTTCTTTCATATTGTCACCTTAAAAGCAGTCAAATTACTATTCTTTTTATTTTACGCTTTAGCCCCCACGAGGCATTTTACTGTATGGGCCCCCAGGTACTGGCAAGACACTGATTGCTAGAGCCGTAGCAAATGAAACGGGAGCTTTCTTTTTTCTTATCAATGGTGAGTCGATAATTGAAAGATCTTTGTTATTTGTTATCTTTGATATGTTATTTTTACATTCTTTGTTAAGATACATTGTCACAGAATTAGCTATTGATTTTGTGTCAATTCTTACAGCCATATAGTTTGATTCCAAGAATATTTTAATTCTCCGGAACCTAGGTAAAGGAGCTTGACTCCTTTTAGAATCATACATCCTTTTAACCTTTTCGTTACTGATGACGTGGACCCGACGTCACGATCACCCACTATCAATTACCAAGGACATCATATTGTCCTCAAAACAAAGATGCAAATTACTTTTCTGAAATACCAAGGACATCGTTGTCATATTTCAATGATATAAATTTCTTTATTCGTTAATCTGTAGAGAAGTTAATAAGCGAATCGAATAGAGAATGAATTATTACCGGAAGTTTCATCTTTAAGATTTTTAATTGCTGAGTCAGTAACAATCGATGCCAAAACCAGCAATAATGAAAGGTTTAAGTATAAAAATGAAATAATCATGATAAAAATGTAGTATACAGATAGTGCTCGACTTACAACCTATGCAACTTATGGCCATTCAACTTTATGACCACAATCAGATGACATTATTGATCTGCAGCCAAGCACCGTGGCCAATAAAATGTTTTGTATATGTTTATATATTTTGATGTTAATTGGCAATTTGATGTGTTTTGCGATTGGGAAAATGTTTCCTATAGTATTTTCCACACCTGTATTTTGTGTGTTTTGCAAATATTAAACCCATCGTACATGTACAGTTAATGCAGTGTTTTTCTTAAACCTGGCGATGTAAGAATAAGAAACAAAATGGTGTAGAGATGATACAAATGGCATAAAATGAACATCGAAAATTATGATCTATAACAATAATAAAAGAAAGTTATGATATAATTTAACTTAAATATATTTATAACACCACTTGACATTACTGTACACACAGCGTATTTTAACATTAATTTTTCTCCCCTAGATGTTGATGTAAATTTTACCAGTTTCTCAGTTTTCCAACCTACATCCAACCTACTTTTTTACAATTTTATTAGGTCCTGAAATTATGAGCAAATTGGCCGGAGAATCTGAGAGTAATCTTCGCAAGGCCTTTGAGGAAGCGGAAAAAAATTCACCTGCCATCATCTTTATTGATGAATTGGATGCTATTGCTCCTAAACGTGAAAAGGTATCAGTGCTTTTAGGCATTGGTTTAAAATTGTGTGTGTGTGTTTTGTGAGCTCAAAAGCTTCTGGAATGACTGGTTCAGGGGTCACCACCATGACATAATTTCACTTGTAGATAAGTTTAAAATGTAAGCTGAACTAAATGACCTGGGCTTTATTGGCACACCATAAGTAATTTATTATGTTGTGCAACATCTAGAATCATTTAGTTATGACTTATTATTAATGTTAATTTTAAAATTAAAACCAAGCTCTTATTTAATGCAATCACAGATTATCTAGTGATGTATTTTATCTCCCTGGGCATATATGGGATTGTGGCTGAAACAATGCTACATTATCTGTAAACTGTAGAGATTTGAAATTTTCATTGTCATATGTTACAATTAGTTGCTTGTATGAGGTTCAAGAACTAGATCAACAGTTTTATATTTGTATTTAATTTTGACTATATTTAGCTGTTTTGTTGTTGTTTTTTTAAATATATGTTGTTGTTTTTTTATTTTACTAAATGTTAAAGAGGAGATTTTTATGTCAGATTCTCTTAGGTAAAATGTTTATTATATAAACCTTTATTGTTTGAAATACATAAGTGATTGGTTTATGCTTTGCAGACACATGGTGAGGTAGAGAGACGCATTGTGTCCCAACTTTTAACACTCATGGATGGTCTGAAACAAAGGTCACATGTAATTGTGATGGCCGCCACCAATAGACCAAACAGCATTGATGCTGCTCTAAGGAGATTCGGTAAACTTGACTTGACAGATTTTGGATGATGTTAAGAATAGTGTAGCCAACAACATGAAGAATATGACAAATTAATGAATGGAAAAAATGCTTTTTTCAGGACGCTTTGACAGAGAGGTGGACATTGGCATCCCAGATGCCACTGGCAGACTAGAGATTTTGAGGATTCACACTAAAAACATGAAACTTGGGGATGATGTAGATTTGGAGCAGGTAATTCTTTGGTTACTTGACACAGCCTAATAAGGAATAGTGCTTGATTTAACCAAAGGTTAAGAAATGCTGGTGTACAAATTCAAGTTTAGAAAAACTGCTTACCCGGTATGTCAATTTGTTGCATCAAAACAGCTTATTCAGAAAAAAATTTATATAAAAATATTCATACTCTTGCCATAAAACATGGACTAATTATAGTTAAAACATAGTTGTGGTAATGAATAAAATTTCAGGTTGCTTCTGAGACCCACGGACACGTAGGTGCAGATTTGGCAGCCTTGTGCTCAGAGGCAGCTCTCCAGCAGATAAGAGAGAAAATGGATTTAATAGATCTTGAAGATGAAACAATTGATGCTGAAGTCTTGGATTCTTTGGCTGTATCAATGGAAAACTTCAGGGTGAGTAGTCCTCATCAAGAGATACGTCATTTGATATATTTATGTCAGTTTGGAACATTGTGAAGCAATACTTTTTATATTAAATATAGTGGGTGACATTTTATATACAAAGACATGATTTAAAATGAGTGTCCAACTAGAAAATGGGGATTTGTTAAATTTTAAAAACAACAAAAACTAGACTACCATTAATTTGTTTAAGTTATCCTGTTTCAAAACTTTCTTGATCAAAATTTTAACTGTTTAATTTGATATTCTGTAAATTAAAATGGACAATGTGTTTAGAACATATTTCAATTTATTTAAATCGTGAAAAGAAGCTTTATCTAATTTCAACCTGCATATATTAGTGGGCCTTGAGCAAGAGCAACCCAAGTGCCTTGCGTGAGACTTCTGTCGAGGTACCAAATGTTTCTTGGGAAGATGTTGGAGGTCTGGAGAATGTCAAGAAAGAGCTGCAGGAGTTGGTACAGGTATGTTGCCTTCTATTTCCTTGTTTTGTTCTAAAATGGTCTTGATAAAACTAAGGTGTACTATATTTGAGCAAGATCCCTTATTTATTTCTGTCAGTTCACGCCATGTGCCAAACCTTGCTTCCATGTATCTAGATGCCACTACGCTTATTGAACATCTTTCCTGTACTACTTTGTATCATGGCTTTTGAGTTTCATATTGAGTTTTATCACTATTCAATAAAATTTCTATTAAAAAAAATATTTCTTGCCAGTATCCTGTTGAGCATCCTGAAAAGTTCCTCAAATTTGGCATGACTCCATCAAAAGGTGTTTTGTTTTATGGCCCTCCTGGTTGTGGTAAAACTCTTCTGGCTAAAGCTATTGCCAATGAGTGCCAGGCCAACTTTATTTCCATCAAAGGACCAGAACTACTCACCATGTGGTTTGGAGAGTCTGAAGCAAACGTCAGAGACATCTTTGACAAGGTAAATGTTTCAAATATAGACTCAACTCTTGTTGGTCAACATTCTTTTATCATTTTAGTTACTTCTTAGATACCTCAAATATTTTTTTAAAGAATTGTCTACTTTGCAGACTTAAAGAAAATAATATTAATATTTTGAGAAAGATATTGTGAAACTGTTTTAAAGTTGTTGTTTTTTATGTAAAGGCTCGATCAGCTGCTCCATGTGTGCTCTTCTTTGATGAGTTGGATTCCATAGCTAAATCTAGAGGCGGCAATGTTGGAGATGGAGGTAAGTGTATTATTTTTATACATTTATTTGCATTTTGTAATTTTTATGTTTTGTAACTTGTTTCTTTAAAAATTGGGGTTTAAAGAAAATGAAATTAATTTTTATGATCACCATCATATAAAGTTAAATTCATGATTTTTAAAAAAATTATTAATACTTCGCTTATTAATTTTTGTAGGTATTCTAAATGAAAATTTCATAATGATATAAATAAAATTTAACTATCCCCCCTAAATAGAACTTGCCTTAACCCTTTACGGGGCGGTGGCACTTCCTTTTGCATTTTCCAAAACTGACAAAATTTTTTAGTAAGATTTAGGGTTGCGCTACAAAAAAATCAAATCTTAAGGTGTTAGTCAACAAATTTTTGAGAAATAAAAAGCAAAATAAAGGAAAATGAATGCAGATTTATAATTGTACTCACATGTTGCCATTAATCCTCATATGAACACAAATATTTGCAAAAACAACATATTGTTTGTGATTGTGTCATCTTTTCACTATTGACAAACACTGCCACAAAATCGATGTTTGTAAAATTCAAAACTGCTTACTACGCTCTGATTTCGCTAATATTACTTATAATATTTATATCTAGATCCAATTTACAGTCATTTACTTAAATGTCACTTAAATTGAATCCAGCGAAATCTCCGCTATCACTTGAATAATCGGCAAAATCCATTTTTTTTTTTTTTTTTTTAATCCTTTAAACTACAAAAAAAATTGATTAAATACATGTAAATGGCACATTCTCTATTAAGCTATCGGAAAAACCAGATGTAAACAATAGGAAGTCTTGCAAAGTCTCGGAGGTCACGAGAAAACAACACTGTCGTCACGGACGCCTTTGGGGGTTTCGCCCTTTAATTTCTAAAGACGTTTTCGGCCGCTCTGCCCCATAAAGGGTTAACAAACTTAATCAGAACAGAACCACACATTTAATTTCTCTAACTTAGTTTTAAGAACATCATGGATTTTTTAAAACCCTGTAACTTAATCAAATTTTAGAGGACACGATAGTGGAGTTTTGACACCCGCTATCTTCTAAAATAAATAAGTTTTAACTTTAAAATCTCTTGCAGAGCCACATGTTATACATGTAGCAAAAACTATTTTTTAAAAATCAGGGTTGTCACAAAAATGTAAATAGCCCAATTTGAGAAAATATGTAAAGGGAAACAAAAAGTCAATTTTAGTTCATCTTCAAAAAATCTTTTAAAATTAACTAGAGTTGGAAATATAATTTTTAGATAATGTTATAGAAAATTTTAATTTATTATTGTTAAATTAACAGAGGATAAATTAAAATTATAATTAACCAGAATTATCTTAACTAAGCATGTTAAACAAAATTAAAATTTTAGAGAATTTTTTTGTAATCAGAGAATATTGACCAAGTAAGTTTTCTAAGTAAACTTGTCACCATGGTGTAGAATCCGATCATAGTTTTAATTTGAAATAAACAGACTCAGGTTAAAAGCACAAATAATACTTAAAGAAATTTTAAAAAAGGGGGTGGTACTTGCAAACCCAAAATTGAGAATTTCCAACACAATAAATTTGTGTAAAGAACTCTGTATTTCATTACTGGCAGTGAACATTGTATGACAAAGTAGATAAGCTTATAATAAATAAATTATTGGAAGCATGAAAAAATAAGTTAGTTGAAATCGGATGCCTCTTTTTGCATATCTGAATGGGTCTGGGAACATTTCCTTACATTGTTTGAGGCCAAACTTCCCTTATCCATTAATCTAAACAACCTGTGAAAAAGATTTTTATTTGTATCATGATTTTAATTGTAATAGTTAAATTAGCTTATATGATCCTGGCAATGTAATGAAATTCACAAATAACAAATCATATCACTACTACATCTACTACTTCTAACCTTCACCAGTGGCTAACATCTAGTATTTGCTGGCAGTCTATTTTGAACTTACGGCAGTGTGCTGAGCCTTTCTGTTCTTTTGTGCTATCTGTTGCTAAATAAAAAAACTCTTAAGATGTTCAAAGCTTCATCCAATTAAATATTAAGTGTAACATTAGGCTTCTATTTTTAAAAGAATACATTTCTAACCTAAAATAAGAATCATGAATATTTCGTCACTTTTTTATGCATCTTACCATTTAACTTTATTTATAAAATGGATTAACGGATAATTTCCAGTTTAAAATTATTTAAAAATAAAGCATGCCATTCACCCTCTGGAAAATAATACTTCGACCCAAAGCAAAAGGCTTTGCTCAAATTGATAATACTTTAACAGTTTAATCATTAACTGCACCTTCTAAACAAATTTTATTTGCTGCAAAATAAATATTCAATATTTGAACATTTTATAGAACTAATTATGCCTTTTTTTTACTCTCCTTAATCCTAAATTAAATAGAGGACTTTAAAATAGGCTAGTAGATCACTCTGAAGAAACATTAATTATCGATAAGCCAAGAAGTGCCGAAACTAAATCACAAATGCATTAAAGAAATACAATAAATATAAGACGCCTAAGAATGAATTAAAGTTTTAACTTACCTATGGCAGTTTTTAAATCCATGGAAAAAGTAATAAATTTGGATAAATTGCATATACAATACAGTCAGCTTGTCTTGCTCTTGCTTGCATGGGTCTTGACTGAATTTTTTTTAAAGGAATTTGATGACATATTACCAAAAGCTTGAGCTTTTTGTCCCGTAAATGGGACATTCCCAAAATGGTAACATTTTTATCAGAAAACGAATTGGCTTTCAGAATATTTATTTTTGCAAGCTGTAAAGTGATGGCATCAGCTCAAAAATGCATTTTTAATACTAAAATAAATGCTTTTAAACATACATTTTTAGTTTAATTCTTGCACAAATATATCAAAATAAAGATCAACATCAGTACTTTCTAAATCCGTTTCCAGTCCAAATTAGATGAACAAATCACTTGTCGCTTGCATAACCCAATAATAATTTAAAAATCCTCCGCTCAGAGACTCATTTAGAACATCTAGTATTAAGTTTTGCTGAAACTATGTTTTGCTCCAACAGACTTAATTATATTGATGAAATATTTTTAATTTAGGTGGGGCTGCTGACAGAGTAATCAACCAACTTCTGACTGAAATGGATGGCATGTCAGCTAAGAAAAATGTATTTATTATTGGTGCAACAAACAGGCCTGATATTATTGACTCTGCCATTCTTCGACCTGGACGTCTTGATCAGCTAATATACATTCCCCTTCCTGATGATAAGTCAAGAATTCAGATTCTTAAAGCTAACTTGCGCAAGTCACCCATGTCCAAGGTACATGAAAATATCTCTTGAATAGTTCGATATCTATAATTATTATATGTGATTAACTCACTCCTATCTTATTAATTTAATCCATGGATAAAGATGAAATGTACTGGCATGCATATAGATTAAAAAGCAATACAAAATACAAATCTTATGCTTAAAAATGAGAGTTCTAACTATATATTTCTAATACCTATAGGATGTTGATCTAGAATACTTGGCAAAGGTCACCAAAGGTTTCAGTGGAGCTGATCTAACTGAAATATGCCAGAGGGCCTGCAAACTAGCTATCAGACAATCCATTGAGGCAGAAATTCGCAGTGAAAAAGAGCGGGCAAACAATCCAGATGCTGATATGGTATTGGATTTTATTATGTTTCTTCATTGAATATTTCTTGATTATAAAATAAGGATAAATTTGGTTTATGCAGATGGAAAATTCTCATTAATTTAAAAATAATTTGTTTACACTGCTTTCACTCCATTGTTGAGTTGCATCTGATTTTCCAAAGGAGGTGGAGGAATATGACCCTGTTCCAGAATTGACCAGAGCACATTTTGAGGAAGCCATGAAATTTGCCAGACGATCTGTGAGTGAAAACGACATCCGCAAATATGAAATGTTTGCTCAGACTTTGCAACAGAGTAGAGGCTTTGGTGGTTTCAGGTAAAAAAAACTAAAAAAAAAAACTATTATATTTATGTCGTAAAGATTTTTGGCAAATGTGCAGGTTTCATTGCTTTTTTATTTAGCCTGTTAATGGTGAAAGATTCATATAAATCATCTATGCATACTTCATTAGTTTAGCTTTGTCCTACTGTTTTTACAGTGGCAAAGTTGTGATTGTACTCATCGTTGTTAGTCAGTCAGAAGTCGACCATGACCACTTTAATCATTGGATTTGTGCTAGTTCTGTTCGTATCTGTGGGTGCACAGATAGCTAATAAGGCTGATTCTGGCACAAAATTTCTTGTGCAGGGGACTGATGGGGCATCTCCGGGAGCAGAATCTGGGTCTTCTTGGCATTGTGCAGGGGACTGATGGGGCATCTCCGGGAGCAGAATCTGGGTCTTCTTGGCATGTCTCTTGCACTCAACAGCCGCTGTTCTGATAACTTCTTGTTGCAGGGGGCCCCTGTGTAAAGTGGAATGCCATGATGCTCAAACCTTTGCTTTTTCCTCCCACCTATCTGGATTTAAGTCGAACGCTTTCAGTGAAGCTTTTAGGTTGTCTTAAAATTGTTTCTAGTAGACCGCCTTCCATATTTAAATTCACCATAGAATATTCTTTTGGGCAGACTGTCATATGTATATTTAGTTTGAGTGCTGATACCTCTCCTCGTTCATATGTTCTTAGACAGTTTTCCATAGGTTACAATGACTCTTGCAATGGGTCTTTACATTCATAAATATTTAAGGTGAACAAGACATTCAATTTCAAGATATGACCAAAAAAGGAATTATTTTCATTTTTAAATGTGTCTGTTAACCATTTAGTGAAAAGTTAAAAATGCAATCTTTACAGTGCCGTAACAAGTGAATGGTGTTGGAAAGAAAGATTATCATGTTTGACATATTTTTAGTCTAGTGTATGAACTTCATTTGTAATTGTAGAACTGGAAAAGATTAAAAATAAAAGAGTCCTAATACATGTGTGACTTATTATTCAGGTTTCCTGGAGCTGCTGGCCAAGGACAGAGTGGGTCAGGAGGCGCTGGCCAAGGTGGCAACATTGGAGGGGATGATGGCGATGAGGACCTGTATAGTTAAGTTATTTACCAGAGACAGTACCAATTGTTATCTTTCAACAAAGCTGCATTGCTGTAGCACATTTCGTTGTTAAATTGTGTTGTTATATTTTTCATAGTTTTCTTATTTTTTTTGGTTCAGGACAAAAAAGGACAATATTTTTCTCTACTGGTACATAAATGAAGATGAATGTCTCAATTACTTTTTTAAGTGACAGTTTGTTAACATTAATGTCACAGTGGTCACTTTTCTTTAGGAAAAGATAGCATCTCAGAATTCAAATTCATTTTAAAATTAGATTTTGATCCGAACATGTTCTTTCTTCATTAAATAATCCATATTTACTTCATTTAAATATGCTCTAGATGGTGTGCATGAATTAAATAACTGTATGAAAGAGGATTATGTGTCATTTTCTATATTGATCCGGAAAAATCATACACACTATTGATCAAGTCTCATTTATTGGCAAACTCTACATATTTTCAAAGGAGTTTAATGTTGAACTTCTGTTGGGTTTGAAAATTAAGTTTGCTTCTGCATTTAGATGGCAAATTAATACAATAGTTGTATTGCACTTCATTGGTTTCATGCGTCAGAACTTATGTTTCCTCTCTCTACAAAAGATCTTTACTGCCAAATTGTGTGTTAATTTCACACTATGGGCTTTTTTTTTAAAATATTTTTTTGGTCTAATAGATAATACAGTCTTACAGTTACAGTTTACAGCTGTATTTTATAATGTATACGCCAATTTTGTGTTGTTCCTTTGAAATAAAATTATTTTAAAATGTATTGATTTTTGGTATTTATAACAATGGATTATCTTTTCTTTTCATATAAAATTCTTTACTGCTATAAACGGTACACTAAAATGAAATATTTCAGTTAAATCATCAAGGGTCACTAGAAAAATGCAAGGCTTTTGGTCTTTAGCTACATGCAATGCAATGGCTATGGTCAAGGCTATTTCTTGGCTCAGGTTGTTCACAAGGATTTTGGTCTTTTGTCCCCCAATGGCGTGTGGTCACATTAAAATTTTCTTACTAAATACAGAGCAAGCTATACCAACAATTGCTGACAAATATTACAGTAAAGATATATGTACAGTACCGGTATCGGGTAAAACACCGTACTGAACTTTCGCATGTTTATCCTAATAGTGAAAAGGAAGAAATTTTGGGCAGTTGGAAATGCGGCCTTCTTTCCAAATACTTATTTATGAGTTAAAATATTGCTCAAATATGAATAATCTTTCCTTCGTCAAGACTCCCAGTGTGAAAGCCTTTGATCCTATTGTAAAGATATCAAATTTAACGCTCATTATTTTTTAACTAAACTGGAGGTGATTTTTGGATGCCCATCTTCGATGACTTATTTAAAATTATTACATTTAAAATTATTACAAAATTTGAATACATGGGCCCCTAAAACTTCACGCTATTGCAGCTGGCAGGAGACAAGACACACTTCCCATACTTCTTGATACTCTTAGCTACTTCAAGAGAAGACTGATAATACTACAGATACTCTCAAAGGATACACTGATGACACTACAGTATTTAAGCTAACAGACACACACTGTGATACTACTAGTTCTAAATTGGTAAAATAATGGTCACTGATGACTCTAATTAAGCGCTATTTTCAGGGATAACACTATGGACTAAACAAGACACTACCCCGGAAGCATGTATTGTAACCTTCATTTTGCAGTAAATCTGAAAAGGGACTTGGCAATGGAGCAAAAGATTGCATGGTCAGGCTTTGGTGTAAATGAACACACCACTATCTAACATAGGATAACTTGATAGTTAGTTAATTTATTAATGATACCATAGTCAATTTTTGAGCAATAGAGAATTATTCATCAACACAAAACTGCAAGATGTGCTTAATTAGAGAAACCCACTTGCCATGACCTAATAAAGTCATGGACAAGTTCATGGTTTGGTTTGTTAAATACATAATCGTACCTTCATAGAAAAGTCATGATCTGATACAAATAAAACTCGCTTTATTCCATAATGATGTGAAGCAGGAGTTAGGGGTAATTCATGAAGGACATCTGCAAAGTGGGGCGGGGGGGGGGGGGTACCGTCCAGCTTAAGAGGTGTCCCGGGGCCTCCACCTGAAACCGTTTATTGAAATATGCTGATTTCAACTATTTTGAGACCTAGAAATCTTTTTAAATTTACCTTAATTTTTGTAATTTAAATTCTGAGGCATATCATTAAAAGAAAATAACAAATTTGCAGTGAATATGTCAGGGACACTGTCGTTTACGCAGGGCCGGCAGAGTGGTGGAGTGGGAACGATGCAGTCATCACGCGAGCCAACATCACTACTGGCACTGGCTACACAGCTAGCCAAAATATTACATGAAGTTGCATTGTAAATTAGGAAGTTTTAGTGATTTGAAAATGTGTTTGGTTTTAGCAACGGGACATTTAGGCGTCCCGATAGACTTCTTCGGGACACCGTTTTTACGGGATGTTTGGTCACCCCTAGCTTAGGGCCAACTGTGTGCATGCGTATTCCAGTACGTACGGTATGTTTCAAAAAAATAATTTGTTAAGTCCTCAATGGCAGCGTTTCCCAAACTGTAACGTTCGGCAGACCGCTAGACAAGTTTCAAAATTGCACAAGGGCCGTTTTATTAACAGCATTAGGGGCCCTGGGAAAATTAATGCATTGAGGCCCTCTATTCCTCTCTAACCTATACATTTGCAATGTTTAATTGTTAGGGAAAGCAGTTTGGGGCCAAGTTGACCAGTGTGTTATTGCCAGTCTCTTTCAGGCAATATCATCGGAAGAAGAGACAGGGCATCTATTAGTGTAAACGCCAAATTAGGCATTAAATCTATTTCACGGCCAGCTCTGACGCCGTACATAAATACAAGTTCATTCCGGTTGTTGCGCTCCTTCTGAGGATATGTTTTTGGACCCAGCTTAGTTTCGCCCCTTGCATCTATTTGCTGGGTAATAAGGGGAGAAACTGCAATCAGGTTAATACAATAGGAAATGAGTAAAATCATTAATCAAGTAAGGTTAAACCTGAAAAGGGGAACGCAACAAAACAACGAACGTGTCGGTAGGAAGCCTTCGTCAGCGAACAAACAGATCAAAGAAAATAAAATAAAAAATAGCACTTAGCCGAGAAGTAGTATCCGAGAGGGCAGCAAATGAATTGTAACAGAAAGTAAGTGGGTGATAGATTAAATAGGGAGGAGGGAAAGAAAAGAGGAGAAGGAGAGGCGGGGATGAGAAAATGTCCCCTGTTTCTGTGTTTGCGAGTAGTTTTCCTTAAAACCGTTCTATACTACTAAAATTAAAGTTTTATTTTAAAAATCAGTTTGGGCTTTTAAAAACTTGTTCCAATTCTCAGGTCTAGTTGACTAAACCAGTGATTCATATCATCAGTCTTAACTAAAAGTTAAAATCTCTTTATAATCATAATTCCTTGCTTTTTGCACTGTATAATCTTCAAAAGTTGCTTTTTTTGCAAAGTATAATCCTCAAAGCTGACACCGGCAACTGCGGACTTCCTTAATGAACAACCCCCTTTTAATATTATATTCAGTAACATTTCATCCACAGGAATCTATATATATATATATATATATATAATTCGCCAGAAGTAGGGCAAACAAAGAGGACGACGACCACGCATGCTTTATATAGATACGCCAGAGCAAGCAAGACGCAGGCAAAGCCTCCCTTCTCTTGCCTGTCCATCGTTGGTCTCGAGACATGCGCACTGCGGTGGAGCTACCGCCCCCCCCCCCTTTCTGCACCACCCTCGCTTGCTAGCCATGCGCACACCCCAACAAGCTCGCGGCGTCTGCTCAGCCGCGGGTCGGCTATATTTATAGAGTTCATGGGCGTGAAATAAAAATTGTGCAGTGGCGGATCATGAAAA